TGATGATGTCGTTGGAAGTGGAAGTAGCCGTCGTAAGGTAATATACTTGTCACATGCTCAATTTTAAAACTTTGGGTGTTTAGTATTTTATTAATGTATTTTGTAGAAATTAATTACATGGGACGATGAGTATATCAGAATATATTTGGAGCTTGATTGCCAATATATGAATAACATACGAGATGAGATTGCAAATATGTTATGGAATGTACGTCGTTAGTTTTTTCTTTTAGTTTTATGTCATGATTTTTTAATTATTACCATTTATTTAATCTATTTTACTTATTAATTTTTTTTTTAATGTCATTCTTATTTTTATAATATATACTGCATCTGGTACATCATAAACGTTACCAGTCAGTTGTTTTAAGAAAAATCTCAACTCATATTTCTACAGCAAATTATGACATCAAACTGCAGTTTTTACCACATAATTTTTACAGCAAGTTACATCAAATTGCAACATATACTGCAACTCAATTTTACTAACGCGTGTTACCAGTCGGAGCCTATGTTTTTTTTTTTGGTGTGTAGAGGACATTGATTATGTTTAAATATAATATTTGTACTCCTTTTTCCTTTATACTATACATAGACCTCACATTAATCACTATTTAATTTGGTTATTTTTCGGGTGACATAAATCCTATACTATTATTTGGGGAGTACACTTTATAAGATACCCTTAACTAACCTTCCCTTTTGTAAGAATTTACTTAAGAATGCCATTACAAAAATTTTCTTTTAGAACAAATTTCATTCAATTCATTAAGGGTAAACAAGTAAAATACTAATTTATGTCATTTAATTAATTTAATTAAATTATAAAACGAAAATCTATTATTTTTTTTTTAAATGACCAATCAAAATAAACATATAAGATTTGATATCTAAGTTACCATATTAATTTGTTATTAATCATTAAACTTCACCTCTCATCTTTATATGATTACATTAATATGAAACAAATAAATCATCATATCATCTACATAATAAAAAAAAAAGTAAATTTTTTTTCTGCATATGCCAAGATTTGAATTTTTAAAAACGCATATAAATTGTTCAATCTATAAAGAAAACAATTAAACGGGTCAAAAATTCAGACTTGAGTAATATATTTTTTTTACACAAAAATAAAATCAACAAAAATTCCGACTGAGCAACGGGTCAGAATTTGAATATTTATATTCGATTTCATACATTTATTTTTTTGAAATGTATAATTTTATATACTACAATAAAAATTTAAATATTTTAATTTGCAACATTTAAAATAAGTTTTACTTGATATTTTTAGAGAATACCATCAATACTTAATAGTTCAAAAAGTTAAAAATTATAAATACACTAATTTGATTATTTTTAAAAATATTTATAATAGGTAGCGGGTTAAATATAATATATTATATGATGAACATTTAAATATGGTTTGACACCTCTAAATATTTGAAAATTTGATTCCGCAAGCAATTTTAGAATTAACGAATAATAGATTGTGCACGCAATATTTTAAAATGAAATATTGAGATTCTAAAATAAAAATATAGACTCCACGCACGGATTGATTTTGGTATTATTATATACTAAATATATGTTTATAACATATTCGATTATGCGAATAATTGGTAAATTCCGTAATTATAAATCTCAAACAAATTCTGTAATTAGATTAGCTCAAACAAATATCTATTTCAACAACCAAAGAATTATGAATTGAAAAAGAATTTTCTAAATTAATTCAAAATAATACATAATTTTCTTAATTAATTCAAAATAATCTATGTTTTATATGCGATTTATTTATGATATTTTAATTTTTGATCTAACTGAAATATATGCAATCCTATTTTGTGGTTGTTAACATAAATTAACTCATTGTTCAAAAAATATTACTTTTGATAAAATAAAATTATTTTCCGTTTTCATATCTTAAAAAAAAAATTATCCATAATTGAGTATTATAGAAAAAATTCTATATCTATTCTAATATTGTATATAGGGACTGACAAAAAAATTAATATTTTTTCACTTACTATTATAATATATTAAAACGTAGTTCTAATATATATATCATATAAATTTTGTAATAAATAAAATTCAACCCGTACTTTAGTACGGGTGATGATCTAGTTTACATATATATGTTTGTTTTTTCTTCCAAGTATATATATTAGTTTGTATTAGTGTGATATATATGATTTGTAACTGTTTCTTACATCTAACTATCAAGTGACTAAGTATTGGAGTTTTGATTGTCAGAAAATACAGAGAGCACGGAATTTAAATATGCTGTAATAAACTTCATTTTCAAATTCAAACTAATAAAGCTGAAAAAAAAGTAGTGTAAACTTTTGTGGCACATGTTTTGCCAAACTAATGTTTTAGTTTTATATCACCCATTACATAATAGATTCGTCGTAGTCTTTTCAGTTTTGGTACGTTTTTAAATATCTTATAATGTAAAATAACTTTAAATAAATTATCTAACAAAAAATAAAAATAGAATTAGTGTCCGTGTGCTTATTTTACCTGCAAGTACGGGCATGAAGGGAAGGGATTTGATAGATAGCCAATACGAACACGCATCACGTGCTTTTCCAAACGCTTCGATCACTCTGAAGACGCCACGTGTAAAAATCTAGCCAAATAGAGTCAGAACTTGCCATGTGGGCACGTGCGATTCCCAAGCTCTAACATCTATGTATGCCTCCATGACTCCATGTGATCGATCATTTGAGCCAATCTAAAAATATTGTGTGTGTATATATGTCAATAAATATTAAATAGATATACATTTAAATAAGTTTTTTTTTTCTATGAGTTTAAGATTCAATTTAGCCGAATATCAGCTACTCAACTTAGTATACATTGGATATACTATACTCGATTTTAAATAATTTTACATAAGATAGATTTGTTTGTGTATATAATACTAATATTATGTCATCGACATGCACCAAGTCGTTGTTTATGATAAGAACATTAATGGACCGATTAGGTCTTAATTAACCAATATTTTGTTTCACGGAAAGCAATATGATAAAGCACGTATTAAGTAGTGAATAAACAATAGCCAATAGCTTGGAGACATGAAATACAATAATGAACCGAATCAAACAAGACTAAGTCTATATTATTTTATTTTCTGAAACATGAAATCATCATGTTAATTTTACAGTCAAGAAAACAATACGTCTATAAATTTATTTTAAAGCAAAATCTTATATAATATATATGTTGACAAAAGAAAATCTTATATTACATAAGATCAAGATTTTTTCTTTTCATCAAGTATATGTTAAATAGATAAATATAAAGAAAGATGTGATGGGCGGCCAAAGGTCGTCGTCCGGGAGAAGCGGTCGTTTGATAGCTGCAAAAGGATTCTCTTTGCTCCCAAAAGCTTCGCTGGCAAAACGTCATTTTTTGCTTCTCCCTTAATCTATCTTTCCTTTCTTCTCAACTTCAATACAATATATACAAACGTTTTGACCCAATGAGATATACAAGTACCAACAATATTGGTACATTTGTTTAAATCGGAGATGCATATTATGGGGGTAAGCTTTCTTCAAAATCGTTCGTCTAATGTTTGTGATGGATAAAGTTGAAAAATTATATACACTTATAATTAAATGATGATATTAAAATGACTAGAGCTACAAACATATTTTATAACTGATGGCGAGTAGAACGATTTAATTTATTTATTTAAAAGTGATTGACATAAAAAAAAAAACTTGAGTTTATGATGGATGTCTAACATTATAACAAAAATAAAATAAAAAGAGCGTTTACTTCAACAAAATGTTTTCTAAATATAGTTAGAAGGCCTAAACTACTTGTCCAATGGCCCATTTGAAGCAAACGCAAGGATCCACAGTGACCTTTATTTGGGCTGAGATTTTATCATTAATACTGTATTTTCTAAGGAAAATTAAGTACCTTTTTAGATTTTTATTTATTTGAAAAATATGATAAAACAAATGCAATCCACATGGTCCAACGAAAGAGTGATCTAGTTGAAATCTAACTAAGTTCCCAACGACACCAATGTAAATGTAACTTTATATGGCAAATATCTTTCGGATATCAAGGCCCATCACTTTCAGCTTTTCTGTTTTTCATTTTTTTCAGCAAAATTTATATTGTTTGATATTCCTAAATTTGAAATTGAATAAAATTTTATTTGGCATAAGAGAAAAATAAATATTATATTTATATACATAGAAAAAATATATATACATATAATGAGTTCATACACCATACATGTGTGTCTATATATGTACATCGTTTTGTAATGTATATCTCGAATTGTAGCCATATTTGTAGGATGATTATCTAAAATATATGGTCGTAATGTGAGAGTGTAAAGCTACTCAAGTCATTTGTCAGATTCTAACAAGAGAATCTTAGTAATGATCACGCAAAGCTAAGATCTTTGCCTCACCATTTAAAGCAAACAAACTTTGTCTTAACCTTACGTAGGACATCAAAGTCACAACCAACTTTTTCCTCTTTAAATCTTCACCTATTTTACTAATTTGTACATCTATTTTTTTTTTAATTGCGTTTCCTTTATTAATTAAATGCATAGCAATCTATGACTTAATGTCTATAACAAAATACTATACCAATGAAGATAGAAGACGAACACACCTAAGTGTAGAGTTCTATATAAAGACGTAAAGTTGTAATATAAATTTCGAAAAGTAGCTAAATATATATGTAAGTTACTAACAGAAATCAGACTTCATTTTTAGTTTTCTAACATATATACTTGTTTTGATCAACGGTTTTCTACATGTTTGCAATGATTTTAATAGGAAGATAGTATATTATATTGCAAATTTTTTATTATACATGTAATCAAAATTTGTGTGCTCTTATCCTCAGTAAAATTTAGTATGGTTAAAACTATTATTTTCATTTACTGAAAATGATATTTTGAAGATAAGTGACCTATCTATATATATATTTCGGGTCCATCTTTATATTTATTATTTACATCATTATCCACCAACCCCATCTTCTTCTTATTCTTCATCTTCTACTGAGATTTCTCTTACAAAAAAAAAAAACTCATCCTTGAATGAACGGTGGTGCATGGATGTGGAACCCTAACAAAATTGAAGAATTGGAGGATGATGATGATTCTTGGGAAGTCAAAGCCTTTGAGCAAGACACTAAAGGCAACATCTCTGGTACCACTTGGCCTCCAAGATCTTACACTTGCAATTTCTGCCGCCGTGAGTTCCGTTCTGCTCAGGCCTTAGGCGGCCACATGAATGTCCACCGCCGTGACCGTGCCTCATCTAGGGCTCATCAAGGTTCCACCGTTGCGGCTGCAGCTAGAAGCGGCCACGGCGGGACGTTACTCAATTCTTGTGCTCCACCGTTGCCTACAACAACACTTATAATCCAATCCACAACGAGTAACATTGAAGGTTTGTCCCATTTCTACCAATTGCAAAACCCTAGTGGCATTTTTGGTAATTCCGGTGATATGGTGAATCTTTATGGCACGACTTCGTTTCCTTCAACCAACCTTCCGTTTTCGATGTTGAATTCTCCGGTAGAAGATCCTCCTCGGCTTATAGAATATTCGACAGGAGATGATGAGAGCATTGGCTCGATGAAAGAGACGACAGGAACATCAGTGGATGAGCTTGATCTTGAACTTCGACTAGGGCACAATCCACCATGACATTTCCTTTTCATGACCCACTCGAAGCTTTCACATTAATATCCATTTCATACACAGGTTCTTTAAATCTTAATTTACATGTTGTTGTTAAATTCTGAATTCAATTTGGCTTGAATTATGTATCACAATTAAATTCATTCGATTTCATGGTTTGGTTCCTTGATTTCATAGCGTAAGTTTACAAGTATATATATGGTTACTTAATCTCATTTGGTTAGATCGACATATATACACTGAACCCTGCATATAATATCTGATTTATATATACTTAATTATATAATTTTCATCTGAGAAATCCTTCAGAATCTATATATGTATTGATGGTATATTGCGTTATATATCTGTCTTGATCATTACTTGGTTTAGCAAGGATTTTCTTGAAAAGTAACAAGGCTTTTTTGAATTCAAATCCCCGTTTGATGGAGAAAATTTACATTTTTATAACATTATCAGTAGTTTATTTCAAATGCTCAAAACTTTCAAATTACTAAAAGTGTCTTCAAATTTTATCAATCATTAAACCATTCCTCGACAGAAGATAATTAAGATGCCAATATTTTTTCCATATTTCGAAGAAGAAAATTTGTTCTTACCATTTCCATGTGCTTTAGGGTTTTGGAGTATTGGAACGATGAAGAGATATACATTGAACGGATTTTTGTTCTGTGTTTTGTTCCTCCATGGCACGTTAACTAGTTTGTACATGTATTATTTTGATTTAGTTTTTGATTAAATATTTAACAACATATTTAAAACGATTTATGGATATCTTATCATAATTAGTTTTCAAATGGCCAGAAGTATCATTTGCGACAGAGAATCTGTATTTTTTTTTTCTAACTAAAGTTCTCTAATATTCTGATATATTTTAGCAAAAATGCTGAATTTTGATGCATTTTTTTATCCACGATGTAGGGGAGAAACTTAAATAAATCCTGCTCTTATCTTCGAATCTAGCTAAAGAATCATGGGTTCGACAAAACTAAAAAAACACAGAAAAACGTTGAACAAATCTATTTATGAGGGAAGGAAGAGCCCTCGGAACCGTGCGATATATGTTGCTTCTACTATCTCGATATTAAATACTTTAAATTCGGTCTAATTATAAAAAAAACGTAGAACAAAGAAACGTTACAATAATAAATAGAGGATCTAAATTAGGGTAAAGACAATTGGAATCCAAAAAATGGAAGAAGATTTTGAGGACCACCTGAAAATGGAAGAAAGGATAGAGAAGGCATGTGAGTTCTTTTTAATTCGTTGCATGTTTCTTCTTACTCAGATCTATTTCTGTCTCCACTTCCATTTTTTATTTATTTCTTTTCCTTCTTTTTCTTCAATATAGTACTCTCTTTATATTAGATTATAACCCGAATATTAGTACAACTACACTGCCATAAATTGGTTAAAAAAAGAGAAAGAAAGATAAAGAAATCATCAATAGAATTTGACATTATCTTGTCTTGGACCCCCACATGAAAAATTCAAAAACATTTAAAACTCGGCAATTAGAGTTATATATGTTGTTTCCTCTAGTTTTTGGTCCCCGCTTCCTCACCATCTCTAGCATCATACTTTTCTTTTATCCATATATATTTTCGACATAACATGTGGATTTTCGATTTACAGTAATCATTGATATTAGTATATTCGTAAAATAAAATAAACCATAAAACTTTCTACAACGCAGGGTCATATTCAAAATCAATTCTAATATTTACGTGTTTTTACTTTGAAGATGAAGCAAGACAAACCTAAGAGGACAGAGATATATATACCGACCAAGATTCGTGTACATAAAAGCAAAACTGAGATATGAATTTGTTGGCATGCAAATAAATTACAAATGTTTGATGCTAAGACCAAATAAAATTAAAAAGAGATTTAGGGATTTGGTATCTGTGAGAGGAACAGTCCATTGAATCAGTGAGATAGGATACTTTTAATTATGCTGTCTTCTTCTGCTCAGCATGGTTCGAATCCCCATAACAATCATCCATTGTCTTTTTCACCTTTGTTTTCATAATTGAGGGAACCGGAGATCGACCGAGATCGACGGTCGAGATGAGAAGCCCAAGAATAAAGAAATCATGAAGATCGAGAAGGATCTAGAAGATCTTGATATTTGTTAATATCTTAGTTTATGATATTTACCATTATCTCTAAATATATTATTTACATTTATATTTATCTTAGATTAGGAAATCTCTTCTCTATATAAGAGAATGTAATTTATAACTTTATGCTTATGAGAGTCTATTATAATTCTTCCTTTAACACTTTATGTGGCTTTACTCTCATCAATTTATCATGGTATCAGAGCCAAGATCCTTTCTGTGAATTTTGGATCCGCTACGTTAGCTTCCGCAAAGAAAAAAAAAAAAAAAAAAAAATCTATGTTTTTCTATCTATTATTTCTTCCTCTTATTTTTGACCTTTCTCCATCGTTTCTTCTTTCCCGTTGGAGGTTTATTTCTTCTCTTGCAATTATGAGTGGCGAGTCTTCTCCTAAATCATGTTTACTATTACAAAAAAAAAAAAAAAGAGAAAAAAAAAAAGAAAAAAAAAAGAAGAAGAAGATGATTGCCGTGACGTTGATATAGTCCGGCGAAGAAGATGAGCACCATGCACGTGATTGTGTAGTGTGTTTTTCTTAATCAACAACTATTGGTGGCTTATTTTATTGATTTAGCCAATGATTGGCAAATTGATTTTGATTTTGGCTAGCAAGGTTGCAAGTTTCTTGAAGACCAAGACATTGGTTTATGAACATGGACCTATTGATGGGTTCGTTCAATCTTCGGCGATGATGATGTTTTCTCGCCCCTTAACATCTTTGATTAAACTTCTCGCCCTCGTGAGTTGTTTTTCGATCTCGCAATCACGCGAGCTACATCCGAACCTTGCAATCGCGAGTGTTATTTTCTATTAGTTGAACCCTACGACCGGGTATAAACGTCGATGATGACCCGACGGCCGGGTATAAAGCCGCTATTTTGAAGATTTGTCCAATCTCACACGTGTTACCACGTATGAGCTTGCCGGGGGGTATTGAGGGAACCGGAGATCGACCGAGATCGACGGTCGAGATGAGAAGCCCAAGAATAAGGAAATCATGAAGATCGAGAAGGATCTAGAAGATCTTGATATTTGTTAATATCTTAGTTTATGATATTTACCATTATCTCTAAATATATTATTTACATTTATATTTATCTTAGATTAGGAAATCTCTTCTCTATATAAGAGAATGTAATTTATAACTTTATGCTTATGAGAGTCTATTATAATTCTTCTTTTAACACTTTATGTGGCTTTACTCTCATCAATTTATCAAATGGCAAAAACTTTGGTTACAATTTGCGACAAAGGATGACGTATGTGCCATTTAATGTTGTATAATTAGATTGTGAAGTATATTTTTTTGAATGCTGTTGTAGTTTATCTCTTACTAGCATTGTTAGTATTTGAAATTTGATAATGTCTTTTTTTGTGCATTTTTTTTTTTGATAATGTCTATTTCACAACTTATCCACATTTCTTTGTTTTTTATTAAAATCATGGTTTTATTAAAAAAGTAACATTAAAGTAATAAGTTGATTAAATAACAAATCTAAAAATTACACAATCAAATTATACTTGGTTAATCTTTTGATAGTTTCTCTAGTGCTAAAAAGTTAATATTAAGGGAATGTATCATTTTCCGAGAAGAGTCTATATGGGTTGTTTGGGGTAAACCGGAGATATCGTTTTCCAAAGACCTTTTGAGAACTTATCAATCGTAATCCTTATACATGGTTGAAGCTGTGATCATTCATATATTCCATTATATCAAGAAATCAATCGGCATTGTACTATTGCTTTCGATTGGACTAAACAGAAATGGCGAGTATATACCTCACGCAAGGTCTGAGCATCAATCTCGTTGTTTCTATCCTCTCCGTTTAGTTATGTTGCTTGGTTGCAATAATTTTGAAAGTGATAGGATATTAAATGTTGTTTATTTTGTTAAATCATAAGTTTCATGATATAACCATATATGGAATCGTGTAGGCCTGTCTCGAAACTTAGTTTCATCACTTTGATTCTTATATTAATTGGAACCATATTCGTGGTTGTTGTTATCTCGTAGGGTTATCACAACTACAACAATTTGTCTTCTATGCAACTTGAAAGGTAAAACACGTGCACCATATCCTACTGGAATGCACCTACTTATCAACTATTTGAAATGATGTGATGACTGATGATAAGAATTGGTCATATATTATATCCAGAGCGATATTCCAACAGATCCTTACTTGGTTGATTACCAATGTATGGGATGCTATCTCGTAGGGTAATATCCAGAGCGATATTACATCATTGCAACAGATCCTTACTTGGCAGATTACTACTTATGAGCTACATGAACAAAATAGGTGCTACCACACGCACACAAGCCTAATTATAGAATGAAAACTCTTTTAACCGTGGATTAGTTCTTATGTGATACTGTGATAGATCACATCTTCGTCTAGGCAAGTCTCTTGAGTAATTAGCTTCTTCAGCTTTTTTCCTCCAACCTTATAAAATCACAATTTAGTGACCGGTTTAATGTTATGCTTACTTTTATATTCGAATCTTTAATTTCTTAAATCTTAATTTCTTGAAATGTGGTTGAAAGTATATCCTCTTTGCTCTTCTTACTTGAGAATGTCCATCATATTTATTGCCCAATGATGCGTAATCTTTCTTGATGCTTTGCTTCGCCAATTGATGTTGTTTGTGTGAGTTGCAATAGATCCCAATTACGCCAAAGAATACACATTTTCAAATCAATATAAAACTGAACAACATTAAGCAAAACCTTGTATATGAATTGATTTTCTTTGCTATGGATAGTGATATCAAATATCAATCTTCTTGTAGATGAATTAATTTGGTTCCGTATAAATTTTTAATTAATTAACGTAACACTCCACCCAAAAAGGTCCAAAGTCAAAACCTTAAACAACACACGAAGCTCGTAACAAGCAAACCAAAAGCTTATTTGTTTTGTTTGCAAACCACACAAAAAGAAAAAACACATCTTTGGTGCAACAACAATGGCTTCGTCTTCCAAAGCACTGGTCGAATTCATAGGCTCTCTTGACAAAGACTCATACGTTTCTCTCTTATCAAAACTCATCGGCGAATCTAAATTCGTCCAAAACAATCCGCCGGAGCTCATCCCTCAAGAGGACCTAATCGTCAAACACGTCCTTGAGTCTCTCCGTCCTTATAGCACAGAGACTGGTGGTGGTCCTCTGGTGATCAATCATGTGGCGTATCATTCAGGTAGAGGTAATCTCATCGTTGAGTACCCAGGATCTGTTCCCGGAAAGATCTTGTCTTTCGTCGGAATGCATATGGACGTCGTCACTGCGAATCCTGATGATTGGGTAATTTCTATTGATTCTAATTTCGTGATTTTGATCGGTGCCCATTAGAATTAGGGCAAAATCTGATACTGGGTTCTGTTTAATTTCCGATCAACTGATCTGAATTGTTCCAAATTTCAAATCTTTCTCTGTTTTGTATACTCTAGGGTTTAATCGGTTTATGAATTTCAACTACTGTGATATTGAATTGTTGATTTCGGTTTTTGTGCATAGGAATTTGATCCTTTCTCGCTAAGCATAGATGGTGATAAGCTTCGTGGTCGTGGGACAACAGATTGTCTTGGTCACGTTGCTCTTGTCACTGAACTCATGAAGACACTTGGGCAAACTAAACCGGCATTGAAATCAACGGTGGTGGCGGTTTTCATTGCCAGTGAAGAGAACTCTTCCATTCCTGGTGTTGGTGTGGACATGCTGGTTAAAGATAAACTTCTTGATAAGCTCAAATCCGGACCATTGTTAGTTTCTATTCTTTTAAATCGTCTTGCGGTTTTTTGAGACAAAACATTGAAGGATAATGAAGCTTTTTGATGTGTATTCTTTTGAAGGTATTGGATTGATACGGCGGATAAGCAGCCGTGTGTTGGAACTGGCGGTATGATACCGTGGAAGCTTCATTTTACCGGAAAGCTTTTCCATAGCGGTTTAGCTCACAAGGTAGTTTCTACATTAATGGTTACTCGGATTGATAAAATTGCAAACTCGGCATTGATCTTTTTCTTCTGTTTATGTGAAGGCGATTAACGCGATGGAGTTAGCAATGGAAGGGCTTAAGGAAATCCAAGCCCGGTTCTACAGAGACTTTCCGCCTCACCCACAAGAGAAAGTTTATGGTTTTGCAACACCATCCACCATGAAGCCTACACAGTGGTCTTGTAAGTTGAGGAATCTAAAGCAAATTGTATGCCTAATGACTTCAAATGTTGTCTACTTACTCCAAACAAATTGTTTGGCTTGCAGATCCAGCTGGCGGAATCAACCAAATCCCTGGAGAATGTACCGTTTGCGGTGATGTCAGGTTATGTTTCTAAAGTTGTAAATACTGTAAAATCGAGATATCTCATTGTTTTTTGCTTACTTTTCTTCTCTATTCTTTTTGATTTCAGGTTAACTCCTTTCTACGAGTAAGTCTCTTCACAATTCGTCCTTAATCGTTTCCTTAATGCATTTAGATACTCATTAATGTTTTTTGGTTGTTTTTGCAGTGTGAAGGAAGTGATAACGAAGTTGCAAGAGTATGTTGACGACATAAACAGTAACATAGAGAAGCTCGAAACCCGTGGTCCTGTTTCGAAATATGTCTTGCCAGATGAGAATTTACGGGGAAGGTTTGGACTTTCTTCTTCGCCTGATTCTATTCTTTCTCACATTTTATTGTCCGTACCTAAATCTTAAAAGTCATAATTTTCTCTTGCAGGCTCACGATAAGCTTTGATGAAGCATCAGCTGGAGTTGCGTGTAATCTTGATTCCCCCGGCTTTCACGTTCTATGCAAAGCAACCGAAGAGGTTGTTGGACACGTGAAGCCTTACTCGATCACCGGTACTTTGCCTCTAATCCGAGACCTCAAGGTAATCCATTAGATAAAACCTAATCTAACTAGACTCAAGACTGATCTTTCAGAGTTCTCTGCAACTGACTCTTTCTAAATTGACGAATCATGGTCTTGGTTTGTAGGATGAAGGTTTCGATGTGCAAACTTCAGGATACGGTATTACTAAACCCACCTCGGATTCTCTCCTTTTCTGAATTTCCTCATCTTTGATGCTTATCTCTTTTAAATTTTGCTGCAGGTCTCATGGCTACATATCATGCAAAGAACGAATACTGCCTTCTCACAGACATGTGCCAAGGCTTTGATGTCTTCGTTAGGATCATCTCTCAACTTGAAGAACAAGACTAAAATGAGATAGAAGATCATAAAATAAAAGCTTCACATAGCTACTCTCTCATTAACTTAATGGTTCTTCTATACATTTACTTTGCTTCTATCTATTTGTACAAGTCAATGGTGGCTCAATACATAAGACACTTTACAAAATTTAAAACAAAGGATAATGTTTATTCAGTTATTTATCTATCTTGAGTTGTCGTCACCTTCAGTTTCAAGTTTCTGAACGCGTAGCCGGAGTCTTTGCTGATGATGGTGTAGTTTCCAGAGACCATTCCCCAATACAACGGCCGAGTATATACCATGTGTGATGATAGGAGCAAGAAGATTGTTTGTCTGCAATATTTTCGATTTGGTATCAACGATTTTACTTACACAAATTCGAAAAAAGGAATGCGTGAATAGAAGAAGTAAAAACCTGAATCCATTCAAAGCCGAGGTATAGACCCAAAAGCCCTTCGAGAAGAGGAGAGTAGATTTTCTTCATCTGTCTTCGCTCGTACCACGCTGCAGAAAGGAACAGAGAATCCTTTAAAGTGTTAGATTGTGAAACATATCTAAATCCTTATGCTATACTGAGTTTTAAGAACCTGCAAACAACTTCTTCAGCTCATCACGGGCAGAGCGAGTTTTCAAGACCGGTGCCATTATATAAGTTGGATCTAAGAGAAATAACAAAACAAAATTAGCTAAGAGGTTAAAGGTTTTGTAACATAGAGAAAGGTTTTACGAGTAGAGGGAAACCTTTAGGGGAAGCAGCAACGTAATAGAGAGAACCAGTGAGAGCGGCTGTAATAGTGGCTGCAAAGACTTGAGCAAATGGTACAAATGGTGGCAAGAGTCCAGTCTGAAAATCAATCAATCTAAGTAAATACGCTTGCACAAGTTCAAGGAACAAGAAGGAGACGAGGAAGAACAGAAAATCTATAATACCAAAGCGACCATTCCTCGAGAATCTGAGATGAGATCTGTTCCCCTTAGGAATATATCAGCTAGTGCACCCTGTAAAAACAATATCAAAACCACGAAAACTTCACATACCGAAAACAGAAATCCGAGAAACAAAACAATTGAAGATTATCAGACAGCACAAAACCTGAAACGCAGCGCGATAGAAGAGCTCTTCTCCAACTGAACTTGCCGCAACTACTAAGATAAACTAAAGAAAGACAAGACAAAGCTTTAACATTCTTTCTCAAAGATTCAATCAATACTTGAAATTCAAAACATTCTGTTAGAGTTCTTCACCTGCCAAGCTGACATTCCATGAAAGAAGCCTCTAAGCTCCTCATCTTCAACATCTCTAATGGCACGAGCATGCGGCGACAATTTCACAACTTCATCCTAAACAATAAACAATCAAATCTTTCCCATAAACACCAAAGCAGCTTCATTACCACTTAAAGAGAGAGATCACTAACTTACATCAAGAATGAAGAGAAGAGCCATAATAGGTGGAGAAGCATAACCAAGTCCAGCAATAATTGTATCCAAAGAAGCATTAAAACCTCCTGTATAATCAATTCCTGCTACTTCACATATGAATCTTCCTGCTACAGCCATTCCACAATATATTCCTATTTTTCCCCAAAAACACAAAATCAAATTTCAAATTCATTGTTTAGATAAAGTTTGAATTTTGATAAAGTTTCAATTTTGAAATTTCATAAAGGAAACTTCTTTTTCGAAATTGCTCAATCATCTTACCGATTCCATAACTCAACCTAACAATAGCATCGATCTTATCCCAAGCTTTGAAATCTCCGCCGCTTCCGCCGACAAATTCGCCGACGGAAGTAACCTCACCAGAAGGTCCAGCTAAACCGCCACTACCGGCGCTAACAAATTCGCCGCTACTGAAACTTCCCACCGACGTTACATCTCCAGAAGTAACAGCTAAACCACGCGCCGCCGCATCTCCGTCGTCGATCACTTCACCGCTGCTCTGTCCAGCGGATGACGACGACGCTTTAACTGACTTTAATTTCTCTAACGAAAGTCCGTTTAACCGTGAATTACTCTTCCCGTTACGTTTCTTCAAATCCGATCTCGAACTCGCCGGAGAATCGAAAAGCTTAGAACTACAATTACTACTCCTAAATCCACCGCTTCCGCTACTACACCAAGACGAAGAAGAAGAAGAGAGAGTGACTCTTGTGGTACTACAAGACAACAAAGGAAGACCCATTTATAACATGCGACAGCTCTCAGGCGAAGTTATCGGAATAACGCCGGTGATCTCGTCGGAGAGATTCTCTTCTTCATTTAGTGAGAGAGATCGGTGACCGTGCGTTTTTATTTTCTGATTTTATTTAATTAGTAATATATACTAATAAATAAGTGGAAAACCATCGAAGCTGTCAAAAAAATAAATAAATAAGTGGAAAATTTTGGACCGTTGGATGATAGAGAAAGAGTTGATCTAACGGTTGTGAAGAGTTTAGTAATAGAGACCACTTAAATTGAGAAAGAGTAATTGAACTTGACTACGTACCTTCGTCGATGATTTTGATTTGTACTACTTTGCATGTCTACACGTAGGCCTGGGCATTAAATCCGAAATCCGAAAACCGATCCGAAACCGATCCGAAAAATCCGGCTCCGAATCCGAACCGAATAGTCACAAAACCCGAACGGATAATTAATTCTCCTATCCGAATTATCCGAACCGAATCCGATCCGAACCGAAAACCGAAAGGATATCCGAAAACCGAAAATAAAATTATATATCCAAAAATATTAGTTATATTTAGCTATAATTTTATAACAAATAACAAAAATATCCTAAATAACCTAGATATCGGAAAGTTTTTAGTTATATTTGTTAAAATTATACATATTTTTGGAAAACTTAGCCAAATTTTAGTAAGATTAAAACTATTTTTTATTTAAATTGAACATTTTTTTAGTTTTTTTTCTTCGCAAACCGATCCAAAATTAATCCGAAACCGATCCGAATCCGACACTATCCGAACCGAATCCGATCCGAATAGTCATAAAATCCGAACGGATAATAAAATCTCCTACCCGAATTATCCGAATCCGAATAAATCCGAACCGAATCCGATCCGAAATCCGAATGCCCAGGCCTATCTACACGTTACCATTTGTTTTTGTGCAGTACGTAAAATGGGCCGTAATTTTATTTAATGGGCATTAGTTAGAATGAGTCTATTAACTCATTTCCATTGCTTGACATCTTAGCATATATGAATGAGACCGAGCGTTGTATGTGGATTACACCCAAAATGTATGTGGGAAGACGAGTCATGTAAAGAAGCCAAGACGTGAATCAACATAAACGTAAGGTAAGGTTTATGTTGATTTACGTCTATATGTGGTGGTGTGTGTCATTTAGAGGAGATGGGAATATAACCAACCCGATCTACGAGTGGATATTGCCTTTTTTTTCATCGGCGATCTTTCATAGAGTTGCCGAAGCCAGAAAATCTGCTAATGCAATCCGCAGAATTACATCAGATCAAGGTGTGGATCTATTTCGAACAAGTGATATCCAAGAAGAAGCCATTCGTTACTTCTCCAACCTGTTTCAGTTTTCACCGGTGAACCACACTCGAGCCTCTATCTCATCCCTTCGCTCTCTTATCGACTTCATCAGATGCTCCAACTAGATGCAAGCGAATCTTCTGCAACAGGTTAACTACGGAGGAGATTCCAAATTGTCTTTTCAGCATTCTAGCTGGTGCTCTGATTACTGTTCAAATGTATGTTGTGGTGGTGAACTCGACTGGTTTAACGCCTTAACGGATCATGATGTCACTTGGAGGTTAATTTCTTGAAAATGGCTCTGATAATGATAATATGAAAGTCTCTCCATGAAATATACACCATCAAAAGAAAAGAAAGACAATAAATTAAACAGACAAATCTTGGGATGATCTTCCTTCTCCTTTTTAAGCGCACCTGAAAAGAGACAAAATATCTACACACAAAAGTATACAATATATAAGAATATTAAGAAGCATGGGTAATTAATCATCCAAACATTAAACTATTACATATCCTAAAGTTTCAAATGTCGAGCGTTTAGACAGACTAAGATAAGATATAGAGATAGAGAGACAAAGAGTTCAGAGAAAAGAGTTCAGAGATAGAGATAGAGTTTGGTGTCGAGACTTCCTTCACTGCTTGTCTACCGCCGACACAGATGGTGTGGAAGATGATCCGCCATCACCTAATCCTTCTCCAGCAGCTGAGCCAACACCAGACGTTTCCTTGCAGCCCGAAACCTTTCTTTTCTTCCTTTTGCTTTTACCGCTCCCTGTCTCACACCAAAAGAAACAAACACAATTCAGATTTTTGCAAGAAAATATCAGAACACTCTCTCGTCTCCTTCAGCGGGAACAACCAATCAAATTGACCACCAAGCTGTCGAATCTAAGCTTTCTTCACATTCGCTAACAAGCAAACACAGCCAGCAAAGAGAAGAGAAAACGATACACTGATAGATAAAACCTTGAGAGCAAACCTGATTTTGGTGTTTCCGAAGTTGTTGGCGGCGATTCTATAAACGTGAAATCTCTAAGAAGGTAGGACGGAGACTTTACTTCAACAGCTTTGCGGCGACCATAGATATGTTTGCTTCCACGGTATCCCACATCGACTAGCATCCTTGTTAGAGACACGAACATGTAACCGCCGTTGCCTTTCTCTGTACCATGGCTGGACTTTACAACAGCCACGAGCTTATTATTCTCTCTAGTAAGTGCGACGACGATCACAGAATGAAGTCCCTTGTATTCTGACCCATCACTGGTACACCCAACATATATTCCCTGTAAGTCATACAAAAAGGTTTACTGGTTTTAAATTAAAAACAGAAACAAAACAAAACAGAAACAAATTAAACTAAATTACTTACTCCTCCAATCTGATCAAATTCTGGATGGAAAAAGTGGACATTTGCTCCAACTGGCTGTGTCCTTAACATCCTATATAGATCCATCAGGTCATCAGACACCACCACTCGCACTTCACGAGGAAGATTGTATAGGGGTGAAGAAGGAAACTGCTCTGGTCGTTCATAGACGCAGCTGAATCCATTTATCGCATCATTAGGGTCTTCTTCTGGCACTCCCTTGTCTCGAATGAACTCTATGGCATCTTTGATATGATATCCGTGGCAATGGTGTGTCTCTGGTCGGTCACCATGAGCTGCAGCTTCTTCTCTCATACTCTCAGAAACATAGTACGTGAGGTACCGAGCACTGAGGGTCACAAAATGATCATCCAATCTGTTGATGTAACGCCATGCGCTACACTGATCTGTGCCTGCATAAACCCAGCAGTTGTCTAGGAGACAAAAAAAATGTCAAATACATTAAAACAATTGTCTATTTAAGTGAAGAAATGAGAAGATTACAAAATCAGAGAGTTATATTACCATGGTCCGATTGGTTTCGAACAACACCTGCTCTGGGTGTCCAAACCAAAGCCCCACTATCTTCTGGTTTGATGTCTTTATTCTCCCTGATCTCTTGAACACCCCACTGCATGAATATTTCACCTGTTCTAGCTACCCTGCGTTCCATCCTGCCATATGGTGTCTTGGTCTCTATAGCTACTATAACCTCGTCAGGCACATCATGCATCACAAGAAAGCTGTGTATCCACGCTCTGTTAGCAGGTTCTGGCTCTCTGCGCTTGCGCCCAGCCCTAGGAAGTTGCTGTGATGTAAACAAAGAAAAAAGTGAATCAAAAGATAAAGAGAGATGCTTAAACCCCTTAGAATTTCAGAGCTCTAACCAAAACAATAAATCACAAGCGTCAAGAAAGTTTATCCTTTAAAGCAAACACAATTTGCAACTAATAAAGGCAGCAGTAACAAGATGAATGATCAAAAGCCATCACATGCTTCTATATATTCACAGCACATATACCACAAGTAAAGAGAATGCTTAAACCACTTGCCAGCTCTAAACAACACAATAAATCTTAAGCAGTGAGGTCAAGTAATAACCATTATGGAGTTTATCCTTTAAGGAAACACAGCTTACGACTAATTAAGCCAGCAGCAATAACAAGAAGAGTGAACTATTGTGTAAAGCTTTTCTTTCTAAATATACTGGTACTAATTTAGCTAAAATTCTTCAATCCACAAACCTGAGCCAGACGTGTAACAACAGGAGAAAGTGAACCCTTAGCCAAGAATTTGGAGCTGGTCAACAGCTTGTTGACTCTAGGAAAAAACCTTTCGAAAGAAGTAATCAGAGAACCGGCCCCTGCGTCCACCATCCTAGCCAAACACATTGCAGCTCCGGATTGTACCTCGACATTCTCCTCTCCCATTGCATCCAACAACGGCTCCATAAACAGAGCCACTACCGATGAGGCTGAACCGGTGTTGTTCCCTTCTTTCAAATAAATGCCAGCCAAAGAACCAATGGTATCTTGACAGGCGAGACTGGACTTAGAATCCTTCAGCATGTTAACTATCCGAGCGATGATTCCAGTGAGGTATGAAGCCGCCAAATCAGAATGTACTCTACAGACGTTCGAGAGGAGTTGTAGGCACTCCTTTCTCACGGCGGGACTGGGATCGGAGACGGAATCATAGACACGGTCGAGAAAATTAGGGAGGGTTTCGGCGGAGAGAGCTTCGACCATCTTCTCCAGATCTTCAACGGCCGACTGGCTAATAGCGGTGGCGATCTTCTGATTTAGCTCCTCCATCGAAAATTCTAGGGTTCTTTTCCTTTTTCCCGTCCCCTTCTCTCCAATTTATATGTATTCGCGATTTTCTCTGGCGCTGGAATTAAAACGGCAATTTTTCTCATTTATTTAATTCATGAATATTTCTATTGGTTCCTTTTCTGGATTTTAAAGACTAAAATTTGCACTGTTATAGTTAATTACTGGCCAATGTGTATGTGTGTGAAATGAAAAAGAGAAGCTGAAATAACAAACGAGCTTTTAGGAAAACTATAGCAAGAAGATGCATACCTCACGAGATGTTTTCAACTCTACGTAAATCCTTCTTCCCTCTTCAGTTTCATCACAGAAGTCCATTTCAGCACCCATCAGAACTCGGTGAGCTCCTAGTTTAGTCTTGACAACAGAACAAAATTCAACATTTGCATCCACAAAGTTGTCAAATGTACAGTTGGTGAAGCTGAGATATTGAATGTATAAAAATTGAGTAATTATTGAGTGAAATATAAGTTTTGAAGGTTAACAACAGCCTTTATCTCCTTGTGGTAAATTCAAACTGTTGGTTAGATCTTTGTACTACTGCATTGTCACTAATATAAATGAACAGAGGTTCAATCTCGAACCTTCTTTTCGTGAGTTTTATCGAATTTCTAGCTTATGTGGTCTTTCAGAAAGGAAGAATATCGTTAGCATCATCGGGCGACCGGGTCTGGTGGTTCCATGGTATTATAATAAGCTATTTAATCTATAACTATCGGTACATGAATCTGCTTGCATGGTCCTTAATTATTGTGCAGATCATTCAACAACAAGTAAGGAAGTGACCTTTATTTGTTCTGCTCTGTGTTAACATGTCTCTTTCAGATTTGTCTAATGGTCCTAAGCTCCCTGATAAAATTGCCAATGTGTAAATCTATACAATGTTATCATTAATATTTGTTAGTCATATAAATTGTTGTTAGTAGTTAAATAAACTAAACCAGTCTGGAGAATCCTATTTCCTAGTTTTTTTTTTTTTTTTTTGACATCTTTGGATCGACAAAGCCCGATCCATAGCCAATCCCTACTACGCGGGGTAACGCGACTTAGTGGAGTCGAACTCCGGTGGAGAAGGCGGAGTCAAGTGGACTTAACCACTTGACTAAAGGCACATCCCCATTTCCTAGTTGTTTCTTATGAACCAAAAAGGTCAATGATTTCTTACATAACATCAGTCATTTAGATGCTTTGGAGATTGCTTTAGGTAACAACTCTCGACTAAATAGTTTCAAATTTGCCTCAAAACAAGTTTTTTTTTTCTTTTTTTCACAAGTATGAGGACATTATCAAAGTTGAAATTTTTGACCAAAAAAGTTGAAATTTTGAGGGTCTATTAAATTTGAGAAAGACATTAGCCATTTGTTCAATAGATCGAGAGTTTCTTCTTGCCATCGAAATTATATATATTCCAAATTCGAAAGCATTAAGAAATTGAAAAACAATTTTTAAAAAAAAAAAAAGCAAAAAAATTCAAAGTTGAATCGGTGGTCACCGAACAATCAGTACGTGTCGGAGAGAATGCAAACAGAGTAGAAAAAAAAAAAAAAGCATTGAAGAAAAGAAGAATCTTGAGGTAAAAAACGAATCCCAAAATATCAACGACGACATAAAAAAAGAGAAAGCTTTTTTACTTTTTCTCACTTTCTTTTTTCTCTTGCTGCAAATGATAAAGAATCAGCTTCTTCTTTTTCTTCTTCTGATCGAAACTCACTCCACACTTTCCCCAAAGCTATGGGATTCGAAAGCTCTTCCTCTGCTGCAAGCAACATGAAACCTATTGGAGACTCCTCCAAACCTCAAAAATCCAACACTGCTCAATACTCTGTTGATGCTGCTCTCTTTGCTGATTTCGACCAATCCATTTACTCCGGCAAGTCTTTTAACTACTCCAAATCTGTTATTTCACCTCCCAATTACGTTACTGATGAACACATCACTGCTTACTTGTCTAATATCCAAAGAGGCGGTCTTGTTCAGCCCTTTGGTTGTTTGATTGCTGTTGAAGAACCTAGTTTTAGGATACTTGGTGTTAGTGAAAACTCTTCTGAGTTTCTTGGTTTGTTGTCTCTTGCTTCCACCTCTCACTCTGGTGAGTTTGATAAAGTCAAGGGTTTGATTGGAATCGATGCAAGGACGCTTTTTACTCCTTCTTCTGGAGCTTCTTTGGCTAAAGCTGCTTCCTTTACTGAGATTTCGTTGCTGAATCCTGTTTTGGTCCATTCTAGGACGACCCAAAAGCCTTTTTATGCTATACTTCACAGGATTGATGCAGGGATAGTCATGGATTTGGAGCCTGCTAAATCCGGTGACCCGGCTTTGACCCTTGCAGGCGCAGTTCAGTCTCAGAAGCTCGCCGTTAGGGCCATTTCTAGGCTGCAGTCGCTTCCCGGGGGAGATATTGGTGCGTTGTGTGATACTGTTGTGGAAGATGTTCAGAGACTTACCGGTTATGACCGTGTTATGGTTTATCAGTTTCATGAAGATGATCATGGTGAAGTTGTTTCTGAGATTAGAAGGTCTGATTTGGAGCCTTATTTGGGTTTACATTATCCTGCAACAGATATTCCTCAGGCTGCTCGGTTCTTGTTTAAACAGAATCGTGTCCGGATGATTTGTGACTGCAATGCAACTCCGGTTAAGGTTGTTCAGAGTGAGGAACTCAAGAGACCACTTTGTTTAGTTAATTCTACTCTAAGAGCTCCTCATGGCTGCCATACGCAGTATATGGCGAATATGGGCTCTGTAGCTTCTCTTGCACTCGCTATTGTGATAAAAGGAAAAGATTCGAGCAAGCTTTGGGGATTAGTTGTAGGTCATCATTGTTCTCCTAGATACGTTCCATTCCCGTTGCGGTATGCTTGTGAGTTTCTGATGCAAGCATTTGGACTTCAGCTTCAAATGGAACTTCAGTTAGCATCACAGTTGGCTGAGAAGAAGGCTATGCGAACGCAGACCTTGTTGTGCGATATGCTTCTCCGTGATACTGTTTCCGCTATTGTTACACAATCTCCGGGTATTATGGACCTTGTGAAATGTGATGGAGCTGCGTTATATTACAAGGGGAAATGTTGGTTGGTCGGTGTTACTCCTAATGAGTCACAAGTTAAAGACTTGGTGAATTGGCTGGTGGAGAATCACGGTGATGATTCCACGGGTTTAACAACTGATAGTTTGGTGGATGCGGGATACCCTGGTGCCATCTCACTTGGAGATGCGGTTTGTGGTGTGGCTGCAGCGGGAATTTCTTCAAAAGATTACTTACTTTGGTTCAGGTCCAATACTGCAAGTGCAATCAAATGGGGAGGAGCTAAACATCGTCCAAAGGATAAAGATGATGCCGGAAGAATGCATCCGAGGTCATCGTTTAAAGCCTTTCTTGAAGTTGCGAAGAGCAGGAGCTTGCCGTGGGAAATCTCAGAAATTGATGCTATCCATTCCCTAAGACTTATAATGAGAGAGTCATTTACCAGCTGTAGGCCAGTTTTGTCTGGTAATGACGTAGCAAGAGATGCTAATGAACTAACTTCTTTTGTGTGTGAAATGGTTAGGGTGATTGAAACCGCAACTGCTCCTATTTTTGGGGTTGATTCTTCCGGATGTATTAATGGTTGGAACAAGAAAACCGCTGAAATGACGGGATTACTAGCTAGTGAAGCCATGGGGAAGTCACTTGCCAATGAGATTGTTCAAGAGGAATCACGCGCAGTTCTTGAAAGTCTCTTGTGCAAAGCCCTACAAGGTTATATAAAAGAAGCTTTTCTTCATACCAGTTTCATGTTATGAGTTTTATCAACTAACAAAAACATTGATATGTTGTGCTATTCAGGTGAAGAGGAGAAAAGTGTAATGCTAAAACTGAGAAAGTTTGGTCAAAACAATCATCCGGATTCTTCTTCTGATGTGTGTGTTCTCGTTAACTCCTGCACGAGTCGGGATTATACTGAAAAAATCATCGGTGTCTGCTTCGTTGGTCAAGACATCACTAGTGAGAAAGCAATCACAGATAGATTCATCAGATTGCAAGGAGATTACAAGACTATTGTTCAAAGCTTAAATCCATTGATTCCACCGATATTCGCTTCAGATGAGAATGCTTGTTGTTCTGAGTGGAACGCAGCCATGGAAAAGCTTACCGGATGGTCAAAACACGAGGTGATTGGGAAAATGCTACCCGGTGAAGTCTTTGGAGTCTTTTGTAAAGAGAAATGCCAAGATTCGCTTACAAAGTTCTTGATCTCTCTGTACCAAGGAATTGCTGGTGATAATGTTACTGAGAGTTCACTGGTTGAGTTCTTTAGTAAGGAAGGGAGGTACATAGAAGCATCCTTAACCGCGAACAAGAGTACAAACATCGAAGGGAAAGTTATAAGATGTTTCTTCTTCCTGCAGATTATCAATAAAGAATCGGGTTTGAGCTGCCCAGAACTGAAAGAGAGTGCTCAAAGCCTCAACGAATTAACTTACATAAGACAAGAAATCAAGAATCCTCTCAACGGTATCCGATTTGCCCATAAGCTTCTTGAATCCTCAGAGATTTCAGCTAGCCAAAGGCAGTTTCTGGAGACTAGTGATGCTTGTGAGAAGCAAATCACTACAATAATCGAAGGCACAGACTTGAAAAGCATTGAGGAAGGGTAAAGCATAACATTTTGAATCTTCATCTACTGAAGTTTTTACATTTGGAATCTGAAAAACAAGTGTTTTTTTTTATGAGATCAGCAAGTTGCAATTGGAAACAGAGGAATTTCGACTTGAAAACATCTTGGACACAATCATTAGCCAAGTGATGATTTTACTGAGAGAGGGTAACTTACAACTCAGGGTTGAAGTCGCCGAGGAGATCAAAACGCTGCCTCTCTATGGTGACAGAGTAAAGCTCCAGCTCATTCTTGCTGATCTTCTACGCAACATTGTCAATCATGCGCCGTTTCCAAATAGTTGGGTCGCAATCTATATCTCACGAGGGCAGGAGCTTTCACGTGACAATAGTCACTATATCCATCTGCAGTTCAGGTAAACGTCAACAGAAACAACTGAAAAATGCAACTTCTTTTCACAGATTTTGAGTGTTTCCAAGTAAACAATGCAGCCGTTATCCAGATTTTGAGTGTTTTGAACATAAAACGGTCGATGTTGTTTTATGATAGGATGATACATCCAGGGAAAGGACTTCCTTCAGAGATGCTAAGTGATATGTTTGAGACTCGAGATGGATGGGACACGCCTGATGGTTTAGGGCTTAAGCTTTCACGGAAACTATTGGAGCAGATGAATGGTCGTGTGAGTTATGTCAGAGAAGACGAACGGTGTTTCTTTCAGGTGGATCTTCAAGTGAAGACAATGTTAGGGGTTGAGACTAGAGGAACAGAGGCTGGTTCAAGCATAAAGTAGAAATTTTGAGTTACAAGGCTTATGAAATTTGGTCTTTTACCAAATGCATTAATTAGAACAAAGGTATCATTATTTATTACCAATAAGATAAGATGTATCTAAACTATCCTATGTATACATTTTGGAGAGATGATTTGGCCAACCAAGACAAAAAAAACACAACCATCAATTTACATGTCTAGATCAAATAATACTTTCTGATTCCGGAAACCAAAAAACCAGAAAGATCTGAGAAAACCAGAAAATTTTCTAAAGTTGCTATGCAGTCTGTTGCTGTTCATCATCATTATCATCATCATCTCATCCTAAAAACTGATATTTACGTTTTAAACCAAAGGCAATAATGGGATTCACTTGACTGTCAGCTTTGATGCGTGCTCTCGCTGACTACAGGATGAGAAACCGTTGAATTTGATGCCTCGAGCTGAGAATTCTCCCGGATGATCTAGTTTCAAATATAGAGATGTATGAGTCAACCAGTTCATCAGATAAACACAGAACATATAAATGATCATTTAAGATCATGTGTTTGTTGTAAGAGATTGTTTACCGGATATTTAGATTCTGATCCATCAAAGACAATAGGTTGGCATCTCCTATCTTCGTTCATCAAGCTCGAGTTCTGAAAGTGAGCAATAAGCGCAGCTTTACCTTGGATTCGTGCATAAGCCAAGGAAGCAACTTTCTCGCTGTTGAACTTCTCCCATTTCTTTCCATTAAAGACCTATGAATCAGATCAGAAGCATAAGTTCATCCCAAAAAATTTCAATCTCACAGAAACAACACTAGAGACTCAATCAGGTTTTGTACCTCGTACAATGCAATGATGAATTTAGGAGACACCATATTGATAAATGCATACCCCACATTACATTTATTCTGCACACAAGAAACCAAAAGAGAGCAACATAGAATTACGATCACGTGATGTCAAAGATTCAACAACAAACCTAAATGGTCTTTACCTTGAAATCAATAGGCAAATAGAGAAAATCATAAGTTCCGCTGTTTTTCTCGTCGATGGCAGCTAAGAGCATATTCCGGGTATACCTGAGAAGAAGGAAAAATATCAGTTCTTTCATATCCCACAACGCGTAAGCTAACAGGACCACAGCAAAATCAAAGGATAACTCTTACTTATTAGGGATATTTTTTATCATCAAGGTTGTGCGTGGATCTTCACGCCTCATAATCTTACTCAAGTCAAGCTGAAACTGTATCTTGATGTCGACTTGGTTAACGTTACTATTAAACTGTTGGTTCCTTCCAACCTCAAATGGGTCGTCAATGGAAGCCATTGTAGGAACAGGTAAGTGGTAAGAGTCATTGCCCATAAACAATTGACTAAATCTTGGAGAAGACAACATTTTAAAACTTGGAGAGCTAGTTTCACGTAAGTTTCTTTGAGCATTCATATGACCACTTGTTCCTCGGAAAGCCATTGATGAAGTTTCAGGGGACCTCGGGAAGAATCCAGATGGCGCAGATCCGACATGATGGAGCTGGTGGAGCGACCCGTTCTGAGCCGAGTAAGGAAACCTGTTATTTTTTACGTTTGAAGAGAATGGATTCACAGGCCAGGCTGAAGAACTAGGGCTTCCCCACAGGAACTCTGATCCAGATAATGTTTCTACGTGACTCGGGTGTGAGTTCAAAGAACCAAATGAAGAAACAGATCCAAACGACTGCGGTTGCTGAAAGGTAGAAGCTTTGTGGCTTGCATTATTATAGCTGCTACTTGAAAACAGGTGATCCAAGTGGCTAAACCTTCTTCCCTCTTGGCCATTGTTCACCGATGCAGCCTTTATCAGATTTGCTTCTTGAGAATGCATAATTGACGAAAATTCTGGATAACGGATGTTCTTTGTTGGACTCAAGTTTCCAAATACTGGCGACTTACTGAAACTTTGTAGAGGATGATCAACAGGACTATTATACCACTTGTTCCCTATAGGAGAGCTTGCTAAAGGCGACTCAACATGATTCGGGTAGCTGTGGTAATCATCATGCTCCAACTCCGGATTCATTTGCAACATCATGCTGAGACAAAAAATCATAACAGAAAATTAGTCCACAATTTCATCAAAGTCAGTTTCTATGGTATCAGTATACTCACTTTCGACGTGCACCACCAGGACGACTATGTTCAAGCTTGATACGTTTTCCAGCAATGTCAGTCCTGTTCAAAGCCTTGAGAGCTGCATCAGCTGATCTAACGTCAAAAAATTCAACAAATTTGTGATGCCTCTTATTTGGTGTTTCCCGTACCTGCTTTGTCAGAACAATAACTTACACAAACGTTAACCGTTATGCAGGTCATGAGAGAAACCTAAAACCTCAAAAAAACAAACAGAAACGACAAAATAAAAACGCATCACCTCCTTGATCTCGCCATAAGCACCGAATATATTTTCAAGGTCTCTGTTGGAAACTGATGGAGCCAAGTTGAAAACCACAAGAGTTCCTTGGTTAACATCTTTCTCCGATGGATTATCCTATAAATAGAACAATTGTATATTAAAAAAGAGAATGCAAGAATAATACATACATATATAAGAGCATTCAAGAATATGAAACCTTGGGGATTGAGAAATGTATGTCCAGTTTCCTCCGTTTAAGTAGCTTGCCTTGTAATGCTCGCATAGCTGCTCTAGAAGCACGTATATCGTGATAAGAGATCATTACAAATCCCCTGTGCTTGCAGGCTGTATACAGAGTTCGGATATCTCCATATTGCTGCCAAGAATGGGAAAACAAACATAAATATCCAATCTTTCCCCCTATAAACATTCAATTTTTGAGAATACAAAAGTGAAATTACCTCAAAAAGAGCTTGCAATTCAGAATCCTCAACGTTACTGTTAATATTCCGAACAAACAGAGTCCTTGAAGGATGTTCACCATAAGGATGTTCGCCAGCAATCGATCCCGCTCCATTTTGGAAAATGTTTTGAGGTATAACATTGTCAACGTTAGAATCAGCAAAACCAATTCGTGAGAAGCCCTTGTTTAGACTGTCATATGGGTCAGTCTCCAATTCAAGACCTCCACCGCTACCAAATAAATCATAATCTTCCAAGTCATCCAACGTAGCTGGCAAAGAACTTAAGTTTAAGTCATCCATTAGACCAGAGAAAAGCTCTTCCTCATCATCGGGAAGCATGCTTCCGATTGGATGTGACTCACCATCATCAAGCATCTTGCCAGTGCCTCCATTGTATTGATTTAAGCCGGAAGCAATTTCATCAACAGACTGATGGTAGCTCGCGCGAGGGTTGACTGCAAGAGTTAAAGATTATAACATAAATCCAATGAATGACGATATAAAGACGATTTAGACTACTCGAGGTACATACGGTTTTGGTGTTGAAGAACAGGTAGAGAACTGGAAAAGAGAGAAGCATCACTTGAAGCATGGAAATGATCAGATCTTGAAAACGTTCCATTTGGGATATTCATTGCGAAAGCCCTGCACTTCGATTAACTCCGCTTCTTCGCAACAACGACGAAAAGGGGGATTCTTTTAAACCCTGATGGAGGCAAATGATTAAAAGAGGACTCCAATCGAAACAGAGAAATATAATTTTCTTAACCAAGTTGGATACAATTTTCACAAACAGAGGATGACAAATTCAACTAGCAATAATAACTAATGATTTTCAAAACAAATCCCTAATGATTCAATCTCTATAAACCCTAAACCCTAATCAAAATCAAATTGGGATAAATCATCATCATCAACAGAGACAGTTACCACCAAGACCTATATAAGATTCGGTGCAGCTGCAGCTAGTTCAGAGAAATTGAACAGAAACGATCACAATCAATTAAAAGCAGAGGAAAACTAAGAAAACAGAACAAGAACCCTAATTTCAATATAGAAGAAGCTAAAGTGTGATCATATAAATGTTTTAGATTAAAAAAGGAACCAACTTTCTTCTACTTCACCCTCTAGTTTTTTTTAGCACGATCACTAACACAAACCCATTGCCGCGAGAGGCAAAGGAACACAAAGTATCAATGAGTTTAAAAATCGAAACTTTTTAAAAAATATTTAGAACCAAAAAAAAATCGAAACTTTAGCAGGAAGAAAAAAGAAACTTACTTCAATAATTTGTCCTCTCCCACGAATACAGAAGAAACGCTTTCTCTCTCTCTCTCCCTATGACTCTATATATATATATATACACACATTGATAAAGAAGAGAGAAAATAAATAAAAAAAAATTGATTATTCGTGAATTCTTTTGAAAGCATTATTAAAAAGAGAGAATCTTTAATTGGATGGAGAAGAAGAGAGTAATGAGCGAATGATTGAGTAACAAAGGACCAAGTGGCACGAAATTTTTTTACTCATTTTTTCTTTTTTCTTCCAATAAATTCAACTATATTTAAACTTCTTTTGGAATCCGTAAATATATCTGTTTAATTATCTTTCAGTTGATAATTATTAGTCAACTAAATATTTGACAAACAAAAAAAAACATTTCACTTAGGTGTTTTGACTTTCCATTTCTTGTTTTATCTTTTCCGGTTTAGTTAGGGCATCATTATTTCCATTTAATGTTAATTTAATTAAATCCTAAGTGAATTTGGAATCTCCGATGAACCACCTCTTCTATAAATAAAGACGATCGAGATCGATTGTAAGAGAGGCAAAACAGAAATTTTGTTAGACGTAATTTAATCATTAAGGATTATGGAGGGCACTTCGACATGGATTCTAAACTACGAATCTACGACGCACATCGTTGATTACAAAAATTCAGGATCCTTCTCAATAAATATCCAAGGATTTGAGCAGATTCTTATCCGGAGTCCTAGCGGTCGTGAAACTTTGGCTCAACAAAAATATCTTGGAGAGAAGAATGCAACAGTAACAATCGAATCCGAGATCCCACCTGCTTTCCTCACTGGAGAAGAAATATGCAGTAGATATGTGGCTAACGTGTTGTCCAAGGAAAATATCAACAACTGGATTCAGCAAAGAGTTGTTCCTAAAATCTGCAAAGACGTGATTAATATAAGTCGCCGCCTTGAAGAAGAAGAAGAAGAAGGTTTCTTGGTTGAAGCTGAAGTTGAAGTTGTTCTAGAAACATTGTATAGTAATTGGTTAAGCTTCAATGATTACGACTCTCAAGGTGTTCTAATACCAACAGAAGAAGAGTGCATAATATGTCTAGAAGAGTTATCATCATCAAGTGGTGAGAGGAGGATCATGAATTTGCTTTGTTCCCACAGTTTTCATAAGGATTGTCTTCTCCCGTGGCTGCGACGCAAGCGTTCATGTCCAACTTGTCGTGACGACGTCCACAATCCTCGACTAGAAAGAAGACCACCAGGAATGATAATTTGTAAAAGAAATTAAGAGCATACAATTTAATAAAAAAAGGTGTTTTATTATTAAGAGCATACAATTTTTTTAGTTGGAAGAATAAAAAGAAAAGGCCGGAAAAGAAAGTTTATTGGGCCACAAAGTGAGCCCATTAAGTATGTAATATCAGAAACCCTAGTGTACGCTTATAAAAAGCATTTTAGGTTTGTTGTGCTGTTTTACGGAGTCGCTTTTGAGAGATCTTACGAAGAAGCAAAAATGGCGGTCCCGTTGCTTACCAAGAAGGTCGTGAAGAAGAGGTCTGCTAAGTTCATCAGACCCCAGAGCGACCGCAGAATCACCGTCAAGGTAAACCCTTTTTCTTCTTAGGGTTTTAGTAGATCAATCACAAAATTTAGTGGACTCTGAGTCTTAAAGTTTGAACCTTTAGGATGCAATATGGTGGTTGAATTTAGTATCTGATATCAGTCTCTAAGAACGAAGAATTTACATGAAAATGATGATATTAGTTAGCCTTAGTACTCTCATGAACAACATTCATTGTAATCTAGATTAGATTGAGTTTGATTCAAGTTTTAGTTTTTGATTTGAGTCTCTTATGTCTGTTGTTTTTGGAAGAATCCGAGCTTTGTTGATATGTGTTTGTGGTGATTTGGTTTTGATTTCTTACATTTTAGACATTATGGTTGTGAATTCTTTCTCAGGAAAGCTGGAGGAGGCCAAAGGGTATTGATTCAAGGGTGAGAAGAAAGTTCAAAGGTGTGACTTTGATGCCCAATGTTGGTTACGGATCTGACAAGAAGACTCGTCACTATCTTCCCAATGGATTCAAGAAATTCGTTGTTCACAACACAAGTGAGCTCGAGTTGTTGATGATGCACAACAGGACTTACTGTGCAGAGATTGCTCACAACGTCTCTACTAAGAAGAGGAAGTCAATTGTTGAGAGAGCTTCTCAGCTAGACATTGTTGTTACCAACAGGCTTGCTAGGCTCCGTAGCCAAGAAGACGAGTGAAGAAGGAACAAGCCTACAACTTGAGATATTTAGTTGTTTCTTCTGTTTTGTTGCATTTCCTTTTTTTTTGTTGTAAGACGATTTTGATTTACTGCTGTTTGTGTTTGGAGTGGACAAACATGAGTTTTGGTTTTAGTATCAAACAGATCAAGTTAAGACTTTTGGTTAAAACTATTTCAGATTCATTACTTGTCAAAGATTGAGCCTTTTTCATCTAGAGTTTGATAATTTATCAGAGAGGGTCTTAAGTAACATTAGTGGATGATTTGAATTGTTCGAGTCTCTCCAATGAAGTAGACAGGAAGCGATCAATTTACTAGTAGACCTATCTCTTGTCTCGTGGCTGCAACAATGCATCTATGTACAGTTAAAACTAATGGACTGTTTGATGTGAGATTGAATTAGAAGCATGCTCAGTTGAAGACCGGAAAAGAATAAGGTCGTAGGTTTATCAAAATCAAACAGATTTGATCAATGTAGTCAAATTAAGAGTAGAGCTCTCTCATCGTGTGACTGAGTCGATGTATTTCGCTAGCAAAAATCTTTCTCGCTATCGGATTCGGAGTAGAAAGATTCTGTTCGATGTTAATGGAATCTGGTGAAGAAGAGCCATGAGTTTAAATGGCGTAGTTGTAGCAAATCTCACAGATGTTTTCTAGTTTCTGTTGATCAAAAGCTCCTTAACCAAAAGCTAATTGCAGAGGACGGTTCAAGCTCTTAAGCAAGTCTTTGTTATTTTCTCAAATGCAATAGTCTTCTGATACTGAAGAAGACTTCCCTCGAGCTTCCCTATGATTTAGAGAATAACGTGAAATCGTGAATAATGTGAACCTTCGTGACTCTTCGAGTCAAAATCGACCATGCATCAAACTTACATGAACAATAGCTATCAATCAAACCAAAGCATCAGAGATAAAATAAAAATCAGCAAATGATATACAATTTCAGTCATAATCATGTATCTGACAAACAAAACAATCCTCAATATATCATATTGTTGCTAGATTCAAGTTATGAATATTCTGTAATCACTTTTGTTTACTCTTTAACTTGTTGTGTTTTGAGTAACTAACCTGATTGACATACAAACACCAACAGAACTAAAGACAATTATATTAGTAGTACTCATGAGTTTATAAAGTCAATGACTTTTGGTTTCAGTATGACACATACTCTTAACAGTTAACACCATTTGGTTATTGTTTCAGATTTTGTAGCTTTCTCCAAAGTTTTGACCTTTCGTCTACAAAACTATATTCATGACGTTTACATAGTTAAAGAGTGAGTTTTTAAGAGATGAGAAAATGTCTCATAACTCCCCTTTTGTAAATCATAAACCTCTTATATCCCTTTTATGTCTACATATCCCCTTCTCAATTAATGAAATGTGATCTGACGATTTTACCCTTTCTTTTTTTTTTCCCTCATTTTAATTAATTAATTTTTGAAATGAAAAAAAAAATCGAAAACAGAAAAAAAAAAAAAAAAAAAACGTGAGAACGCTCGAGCTCGAGCTCTCCTCGCCGGAAAATTCGATTTGAGTCGCCATTGCAGCCGTATCCTCTCCTCCGGCGAGCTGCGTCGAGATAGAGAGAAAAGGTATGTTGTTCGAGCTGCATAGAGCTTCAAATTGAAGTTTTGGATTTAGAAATGTAGGAGATTCAATTCAATTAGATTTGGGTTATTGTGTTTGGGTATGCACATTGGAAGTTTATGCATAGTTTCTGGGTCGAATAGGTCTGTAAATGGGTAAGAAATGGATTACAGCAACTGAATCATAGTGAATTGTAGTTTTGAACCCGAAACCATTCGATTTGAGTTCTTGTCGCGAAAGTACAACTGGTATAACTGGGTAGAATTGTACCTGAATCTATTGAAAAATATATACGTAGTATTACTGGTTATACTAGTATTACCCAGATGTATGTAGTATGACTAGTTACACTAGTATTACCCATTTACATGTAGTCTGACTAGTTATACTAGTATTACCCAGAATTGTAGTACAACTAGTACAACTAGTATAACTGACAGAGTTTTTGTATTGTTTTTGCAGGATAAAATGAGGGAGAACGTGATCATATATTTTAAATGCAAAGGTCGCATAGTATTTGATTTTATCTGCACTTTATGATTTGTAAAACAATTTCGACTTGGACAACTATGTAACACTAGTTTTTTTCTGATGTAATACTATGTTTTTTTCTATGGCAAATGGGTAAAACTTGTATAAAAAGTAGTACTAATAACGAGATTTGGTAATACTAGTAAAACTAGTATAACTTATGAAGGAATTTGAATTTCGAATTTGTTTTTTCCAACATTAAATATTACACTGACTATTAAGTGATAATGAACTCTTATAAATGATATAAAATAAATTAAGTGAGAAAAAAAAATTATATCATATCGGATTGTTTTAATAGACTCCATACAACATAATCCTTAAACTTTTATGTTCACTTTTTATAAAAACACCAACTTAGGATGGAAAATTTACAATTTTATATATTTTTAACATATGATTACAAAAAACATTAAGAATTCTATAATTATAGAGTTCACTCAAGTGTACAACTAGATAAGCAATTTTTTAGAATATGTAATACTGGTTAAACTGAAAAACACCAAAAATACAACTATGTAGAAAATTGGTACAACCAATAACTTGGTACAACTATGTTTAAAAAAAGCTGCGCACTGGTGGTAAAAACGGCGCACACGTGGATAAGATGGGGCCCACGTGTTCCAAAATTGAAATTCTCCCATTTTTTTGGGTTTTCCCACAAATTTGACGGCGCACATGTGTAAATTTGACTTGCACATGTGTAAATTTGACGGTGCACATAGTTTTACCTAGTAATACCAGTAGTATAAATCAAAAAACAAAACCAACATAGTTTTACCTAGTATTACCAATTGTACAAATCTAAACAACAACTATAAGACAAAGATATAGTGAAGAAGGTATATTCTTCTTCACCTCCAGCTACCATGATACTATCAATTTCATGTGGGATGTAAACAATGAACAAAGATTAGAAACATTACAACCCAAAATAGTTCATATCATACAACGCTCTTAGAAAATATGACTCCATGGACGTAGCATCTTCTCCGGTCTTTGTGTGCCCAATAACAATGCTAGATAAGAAGTAGAAGACCAATTTTGGGTAAGCTTCTAACATGGAGAGAGTTATCTTTTCCCATGATGTCTTCATCATCAAGCTATACATGCGACATTGGCATTTGAAATATATGATCACGTTCTCCCTCATTTTATCCTGTCAAAACAATACAAAAACTCTGTCAGTAATACTGGTTTTACTAGTTCTGCTACATTTGTAGTAATAGTTTCCGAGTTGGTTCTTCCCACATTTTTATACCCAACTGCATAGTTCTTGCAATTGAAGCCCGATATCAATGCATGTTCCGATATACCATATCGGATTGGAACACCATTGACGATGAACCACACTTCTTTCTTCCTTTCAATGCGCGCCGTGTGAAGAAGGAGCATCCACATTCCCATAACTCGGTGGTTTGGATTTCTTGGCATGTGTAAGACGTGTTGGAAACTCGGATGATTCTCAAAATATGCCCTCTCAGACTTGCTCATCAGAGGCTCCAACGTATCGAATGTAGTCAACACTTCGTGAATATAGCACCGAGTTGATAGCTTGATTTTCTTCACATATTCCGAAGGCGGGAAATACATACTCAGCGGTGGTATTGCTTCTGTTTCCTCGTCGATCTCCTGCAACAGAATAGACATTCATTCATATATCATTATTCTGCGAATAGTATTACCAGTATTACCCTGAAACTATACACATAGTTCTACCCTAGTAATACCAGTTTTACCCAGAATTCAAACACATAGTTATACCCTAGTAATACCAGTATTACCCAGAAATCAAACATATAGTAATGCCATAGTATTACCAGTTATACCCAGAATTCAAACAAATAGTATTCCCAGTTCTACCAGTTATACCAATAAATAATATTGGTATACTGTTCTACCAGTTATACCAATAAATAATACTGGTATACTCTTCTTCTTCCTCATTCTCTTCTTTTTCACTCTCTTCTTCCTCATTCTCTTCTTCCGCTGGCTCTAAAACCGGAATTAAGGTCGAGGATGGCTGCTGCTCCGTTGAGGATGGCTCCTGCTCCGTCGAGGATGGCTGCTGCTCCGTCGTTGGTACTCCTCTCTTCCTCTTTAACCCAATTTTCTTTGGAGGCATTGTCAGAAACGAGAAAACGAAACAAAGGACTCGAAAATGAGAAATCTGAAGTTGCTTTCGAAATCGATATCTCCCAAGAAAATCTGAAGTTGCTTTAGAAGAAGGAGAATAAGAGGAAGAGTGGAGAAATTCTAGGGAGAGATTTTGATTTTGATTTTGAGAGAGAAAATTGAGAAGATTTTCGCGTTCCGTTTCAAACAGAGAATAAAGGAATTAGGGTATCCGGTTGGGAGAGATGGGTCGGGTCTGGGTTCGAATAGATCCGGGTTTTCACTGTAAATATTGGATTTCGGTTGGGGTATACTGGTAAAACCAACACTTTTCGAATTAAAATTAAATCAATAATAATTTCTGTTTATAAGGGGGAGATATGAGGTTTTGTTTTGCCAAAAGGGGACTCCCCAGACATTTTCTCTTAAGAGATGGTGAGTCGCGTTATTTCTCAACGGTTCAGGTTCCTTAGGTGCAAAGTTTGTATATTAATCACTCAAAGAGCCAAATCTTGGGACAGAGCTCGTGGGATTTTCAAAAGGTTTAACTTTTCCGCATCTTGTAAACGAAGAAGACAAGTTTATTGGAGAAGCACTAAACCTGTTCGACGAAATGCCTCTGAGAGAATGCTGTACTGTGAGAATGTAGAAGAGACGCGTGACTTTGTGTTTACGTTTGCCTTGTCGTATAAAAAGCGGCTACGTCAGCTCAAACGTCTTTGTATAAAAGACTACTTAGTACATATAGAAAGTCTCTCTCTTTCTCTTTCTCTCTCTCTCCCTGAAACGAGAAGATGAAGATCAGAGATTCGATTGAAGATACAAACGAAACAGAAGAAAGTGATACGTGTATGAAGAAGAAGATGAGTCCTGAATCTTCAATCTTTTCAACTATTCTCGCTGATATTGAAGAGAATCCAACGATATTGCAGAAACAGAGTAATTTGAGCGGTGAATTTTCAGTCTTTTCAACAATTATCGCTGTTGGTGATGAAGAGAATCCAACGATGCCGCAGAAGAAGTTGAAGAAGAGCCGAAGAAGAGGATCAATGAAGAAGACCCCAATTGACTTCTCTTGTACGGTATCACAAACCCTAACTCATTCAGATTTAGTCGGCATTCTTAATGAAGAACTAAAGATTCTGAGATCTGAAATAGAGATCAAAGGTCAAAAAAGTGATCAATTTGTGTCTTGTGATTCTGATCACGTTAGAGAAGAATGTGATTGTGCGGAAGAGGGGAAAGTGGAACAACGTGAAGAAGTTAAGTTTCTTGCGGATGAGGTTATAGAATGGCTCTTAAGAGATGAGATAGTAGAATCCGAAATCTCTACTGATGCTGAAGATTCGGTGTGCAAAGTAGAAGATGGTAACATTCTTGGGACTTTTGATGGGATGTTGTCAACTATGCTTGGAGATGAAGATACAGGGCCTTGTGGTGGGATTGATGAGTTTATTGAGAAGATGTTAGAAGAGATTGAGAAAGATGGAAGTTACTTAGACTGGATTAAAGATAGTTATGTGTTTGGAGGGTTGCTTGAGAATCTGATAAGAGATAGATTCAGAGAGAAAGCTGAGAAAGAAGAGAAGGAGATTTCTTCTTGGATCTCTAATGGAGAACCTGAAGTTGATGAAACTGGAGTTGCAGAAGAAGAGAAGGAAGAAAAAATGGATGTTAAGGAGACGAAGAAGAAGCTGGCTTCAATGGTGGTCAAAATGGAGTGGACTGAACAAGAATCAACTGTGACAAAACGTGATTGTTTCGGGTATAGACGACGGTTGTATTTGATTGAGAAACTGACAAAACGACATGAGGATCTGATGAAGATGAGAAGGAAAGCTGTTAGATTTGGAATGGAGCTTTCGTTTCTTGTGGCGGAATTTATGTTTTTGATACCTAATGAGATTCTTGCTGGTGAAACTGGAGATTACAGTATCTGTACAAAGCTATTTGGGGTTAATGAAGATGATAAGGGTACAAGTGTAATCATAGGAAAGCTCGAGGCAGTCTTTGGAATAGTGATCTGGAAGAAGGAGAACAAGGAACATGATGTGGACCTTCCTGAATCTATTTTTCGGTATGATGATTTCATTCGCCTTTGCGCAGATGCAACTCGAGCCTTGGGAAAGATTGTTTGGGCTCTGAAATGTAAACAATGTGAAAGACTCAAGCTTTCTGATTTAGATTCTCTGTTTGAAGATTGCCAAAAAGTGTTGATGAAGATAGAACTGAAGCTAGCAGAGATGAAGCAATGGGTTTACAGATCGGTTTCTGCGGATTATGAGTCGTTTTCGAAGTCAGAAAGGTCTGATAGTTTTCTCAGAATAAAGCTCATGAAGAGGGTCATAGCTGATAACAGATATGGGAGATCAGTGATTGGATCTTACTTAGTAGAGATATGGCAGTCTCTGTTTCAAGCAGAGGCATTACAGGAGCTGTGAATGATTCGAAGCATGATTCTGGATCTACTGTTCTTGGACCACAGAATTTTTTTGTGCACTTTGATTGGTACATTTTGTGTAAAGTTTTTTTTCTCTAGAAATCAAAACGATGTAGGTGTTTAGTTCTTACACACGCTTTATACGAATGCTAAGAATTTTCGCATATTGTATCATCACAAGTTATCGAAAGCAAAAAAGCTACCCGCTAAGAACCAATCCGCCCACTCTGAGTAAAAACCATAGAACCACGAGTCTTGTGACCGGCAATGTTCTGTGGTGTTGCCTTGGAGGTTCGTGTACTCGTCTTGAACACGTCAATGAAAATATCACGTTGGTTATTACTATAGCCACAACAAGAATCGAACCTTGGAGTTTCTCAAGCTCAACAAGGAGTTTTAAACCTAGCTTTGAAACAATCATAAACTCCCAAAGAATAAAGAACACAACAACTGTATCTGCCAGAAATGTGGAAACCTTGTGTAACATGAATCCAATTTGTGGCATACATAGTCTAAAACACTCAGACAAAGGGTTAGATCACCTTTGAAGATTAAATTTTTAAGTTAGCTTTTAAATCAAGTGATAACAAGGATAAGCAACATTACCCTAAAAAGAGTTAAGTTCAACACAAATGCATTTGATTACAAGAAAATGGTAGATTAATTGATGAATTCCCAAAACATTCAAGTTTGTAATTGCAAATTAATAATAGATTCTGTAAAAAAAATACTGGTCTTGTACTTGTATGTAATAACCATAAATTATATAAGTTCGCCATAAACGTCTTAAAGGCTCACAACTTGAGAGAACAAAAACAATAACAGACAAGGAATCGCAACGAAAGACAAACACTGAAAAACTAAAAAGAACCTGTAAGGACTTATATAAAGAGCAGAAATTGTAGACATGTCTGTTCTGAACACTACTAGAAGCTGTTTCATTTGAGAAAATTTGTGATTTGAGAGACTGAATTTTTTTCACAGGTAATCGAGAGAGGAAACCGAGAATCCTTCGCCGTGATAACACTTATGCAGCTTCCGAGTTTATAGGCAACACGCTGTTTCTGCGATTAGATAGAATACAACTCGTCAACAACTTGAAAACATGTGAGTTTTCAGACAACAATGCAGGATTGAGGCTATTTTACTCGCAGCTAACTTGACAGTACCATTGATGTGTATAGACTCTTGCTACTTTGAAAGAAATGTTTCCATATGGTTCTTAATTTTTTATCCATGAACTAAATCTAACAATCATATATAAACTCGTGAAGCTCATAAAAGAGAGAGACTATGCATCCGACAATGTTTAAGGAGGAAGGTAGAGAAACTTAATGAAGTTGGGGGTTACCTGAGTTTATCTACTGGATCCTGTGGCCACATCAAACAAGCCACAGCAACTAAACCACGAGGTTCTTTGCGCAATTCCATGTGTTGGTATCAGCACGGGAGCCTGAGAGAAAACTGAGGTTAGTCCTTTTGGTAACATAAGCAACAAAAAAATATGAACCGAATAGGTTAACAATAAAGACCTCTTCCTCATGAGATATGACAACATCAGACTCTCCGTTGCCTTCAGGAACACCGTTGGATTCTGGTAGAGGCGGTGATGTTTTTCCCTCATTTTCTTTGACATCAGAGTCAGTTGCACCTGAAGACGCCTGCCTAATCTCATCAGATGCAAGAGAAACTTCAGCGGCAATCTCAGATGGTTTAGGCAAAGAATTCTCATCAGCCTCGTTTGAGCTTATTGTATCAACATGCGAGATCTCAACCAGCTCTCCAGAGTTGGGATCACTAGGCACAGTTGAATCCATCAAACCGGTATTCTCTACAATCGCATTAGCAGTACACCCCATAAACGGAGCATCTCCAGCTATTGGCACTGGTTGAATTGGCACACAACTCACAGTAACAACCTCAGAAACAGCATCACCAGTCTCCTTATTATCATCTATCTTCTTGACTTCCCGGGACTCATCATCCGAGCTGGAGCTGCTGCTGCTACTACTGCTGCTGCTACTACTGCTGCTGCTGCTACTAGAGCTCTTGTCATGATTATGGCTTGAATCAGTGATCTCTATGCGCTCATCGCTCTCACTTTCGCCTTGGCTTCTCGAATCTAGCACATCAGTTTACAACTCCAATCAATTTCACTAACAGAGTGATTTATCAGTGACTATTCAAGTCAAATCTAACTATGGTACCATCCAAAGAAGCAAACCTCAAAGAGAATGAAACAAATAGTAAACAAAACTGGAACAGCTACTAATCAAACCAAAGCATCAGAGATAAACAAAACTCAGCAAATAATAAACAACTTCAATCATAATCATGAATCTGATAACCAAAACTATCCTCAAGTAAGTCCAAAACCGAAAACTAGATTCAACCCAGATGGATTACGAAACAGAACATGCTAAAAATAACCGAAAGATCAAATTTTTACAGCTTGAGATCCCAAAATTCTGAACCTAAAACCTTAATAGAAACACACTGAAGGATTAAAAGGAAGTAAAAAGTATACCCATTTGTTTAGATCAATGAACACAAACAATAAAAATCCAAACTTTGAAGAAACTAAAAGAGAACAAAGTAAAAAAAAAAAAAAAAAACTCAGATTTAAAGCGAAGCTTAATATAAAAACAAACAAGAAAGGTCGCCTAAACAAGAAAGGTCGCCTAAACGTGTGTGAGTGATTGAAATAATTGAGATACAGAGAGACAACAACAACCAAAAAAGGCAAAAAGCAGAAAGTAGTAATGAGATTATGAGGTGTTATAGAATGAAACCATGGTTGTTGGATTTGTGATTGATTAGAGTAGAAGATGCTTGTTGTTGTTCTTCCTCTTGCTTTTTCTTGGCAGCTTTCCTTTTCTTAGCACCTGAAGGCATGATTTAGGCTCCTTTGGTGGGGATCGATCTCAAACAACAGCTATGGCGGATCGTGGCTTTGTCTCTTTGATTTCTCTCTGTTAAAATAAGGAAATTAAAATGGCGTCTTTTTTTTTGTCAAGCCGTCAAAGTTTCAAAACTCAAAACTGTGGAAGTGGGAAAGTTTTGGGTCGTTTATAGATTCTTTATACATGTGAAAGGGTTTCTTCGTTTTATTGATTTTGTTGTGTTTGTTTCGTTTAGTACTAATTTTAGTCATTAACGAAATATATAGATTTTTTTGTAAAGTTAGTTCAAACAAAATCTTCACAACTTGATTGGGTTATATATAAATTAAAACTAAAAATTGTTGTCATTCAGCACTTTAGATTAAACAAAATTATGTTTTTAATCGTACAAATATACTTTTGTCTATTGGTTGACTAAAAAAGATTATAAGAAAAATAACTTCTTTTAGTTTACAACAACAATATTGCAATTTTGAGTGACTTTTGTTGCATGATTTTTTTTAAAAAAATAGAACCTTGTTTAAGAACATGGAATATGGTAAAGTATGAAATTTTAAGTCGGTAGTGTATGATATATATATATATATATATATATATATATTTTTCAGTCGGTAGTGTATGATAAAATAAAAAAAAAGTATAGGGTTGTCTTTTCAGATTATAATTATGTAATGGCAGTTAGGACAAAATGAAAATGATATGGGAGGAGTGGGGACAAGAAACAAGTGGTTATGAGTTGTCCATGTCAGATGTTTTTCGTTAATACCTATACTTTTAATTTACTTATCTTTAAACGGATTTAATTACTCATTAATAATCCGTAACGTACAGCTTCCAAAATTCAATGGGTTTCTTGGGATTATAGTACGTTTATCAAACTTAATTATATAAGACTATAAGTAGTACAAGTACTATTTACAATTGTTCGTGAGAGAGAGAGTGTGAGAGAGAAAGAGTGTGAGAGAGGGTGTGAGACGTTTGAGAGTGTGAGTGTGAGAGATAGAGTGTGAGAGAGAAAGTGTCAGTGAGAGTGTGAGAGAGTGTGGTCAGATTTTTTTTTTTTTTTTTTTTTTCTTTCTTTATAATATTTCATTCCCTCATAGTTTAATAACTAAAATGCTCGTTCGTAAATTTTATTTTTCTAAAATTGATCATATACAAAAAACAATGTTTTTTTCTCTATCATTTGATATGCATTTTGTTTTATAAATTTTAAAATTTATATTAACGAACACTGTACAAATAATATATAAACAGATATAAATTACTGTACAGATGTAGACCACTGTACAGAAAACAACTGTACAGCAGAATGACTGTACAGATGTAGACCACTGTACAGCAGAAGACAACTGTACAGCAGAATGACTGTGCAGATGTAGACCACTGTACAGCAGAAGACAACTGTACAGCAGAAGACAACTGTACAGCAGAATGACTGTACAGATGTAGACCACTGTACAGCAGAAGACAACTGTACAGCAGAATGACTGTACAGATGTAGACCAGTGTACAGCAGAAGACAACTGTACAGCAGAATGACTGTACATCCACCATAGATGTGAACAGAATACTATCTGTACATCAACCTGGATGTACGATATGTAATCTGTACAGAAGCCATTCACATATGAACTAATTTGCTGGAGAACCCATGTCCGAATAGTTTTTCCCTACCTTCTCTTTGCAGCATATTTCTTTTCCTTCTCTCTTCTCCTTCGAAACTGTACCTCTTCCTCTTTCTCCTCATTTCTTTTCCTTTCTTCTTCTCTTCGCTTTCTCTAAAAATCATTCTTCTAAGAAAAAAAAGAGCTTTGTCGTAAACACAAACATAGCCAAGAAAAATTAGAGAACTGAATCTGAAATAAAGCTAGAGGTTTCTAATTTCGGATGCGTCTACGTCAAAATTCTTTGTTTTTTTTTTGAATAAACAATATCATTTGTTTTGGACTCTAAACTTTTTTATTAGGAGGAATCAGTTCGAAGATATTATTAGGATTTAGGAGGAATCTATACTTTTTTACAAACTAAAATCCAAAACAATTTAAGTACTACTAGAAAAGAACATAAATACACATTGGCATAGCCATAACATAAATAGACACATGCAATTGTATTTTCCAATGTCTCTTCTCTTACCATATTTGACCTTCTTCTTCTCTTTCTCTCTTTTTTTTTTTTTTTTAACAGCCTTCTTCTCTTTCTCATTACTCTCCTTCTCATTACTTCATCAAAAACCAAACAATTGTCTTAAATTCTCTACGTTTCCGACACTAGTCGTCTCACTACCACAAGAACTCTAAGAATCTTCTTTCATTCACTACCACTCTCACATATCAATTTCACCTTCAATTGGCCGGTTTAATTCACCACCACTCTAACATATCAATTTCACCTTCAATTGGCCGGTTTAATAACGTAATCCACATCGATCTATCATCCAACAGTCCTATTGGTCAAATCCCAATGACTCTCTCTAACCTCTCTTCTTCATTGGAATCGTTGCATCTCTTCTCTAACCAGCTCAGTGGCGAGTTACCGAGTCAACTCGGCCCACTCTTGAAAATCAAATCGTTAAAACTCGGAGACAACGAGTTCAACAAACTCGAAGAACCACCAAATCTCTGACCTATGGTCGGATTAGACCCTAACCGCCACCTGACCGAAGCAAAGTAGCCACGCCTCCGAACCGGAGCGAAAAGAACACGCCAATAACCACCGTGGGGAGATTTTTCTCAAGACCTAGCCGCTGTCCTCGAGCAAACTGAGGGAGAGAGATGCCACCGGAAAGATGGAGACGCCGTGTTCACCGATAGGATTCGCGAAGAGCCGACGCCATCTCAGCCGCAGGTAGAACCACCGCAATCCTAGCCACACAACTCAGTCTTCTAATCTCGTCAAATCGCCGATGAGAGAACGCCTGATTAGCACGCAGGAGGCAGAAGGGGTCCTCTCACAGCCATGGCGAGGAGCGCCGGTGGTCTGAGAGGCAAAACGCGGCGGAGAGTTTAAGTCGCAGGTTTTGTCAAGATTCTCCCAATAAACATGTTTCGATGGCAGCAACGTAAATATGAAGTTTTTTTGAGGGTTATAGAGTCTTGGCAACAATTGCTACAGTGATAAATGGGGAAAAAGCCAATTGTAAATAGTACCCGTACTAGTTTGCCTATTATGTTTGGAAAACGTACTATATCCCAACATATTGCTAATTCAATCGCGAACGCTCCTTTAACCGAACCGGACCGGTTTGGTTTAATCTCAGAGATTAGTCGAATCGACCCGACCCGACCCGACTCGGCTCGAGAGCTCAGATCGAGAGAAAATGTCTCATAACTCCCCTTTTGTAAATCATAAACCTCTTATATCCCTTTTATGTCTACATATCCCCTTCTCAATTAATGAAATGTGATCTGACGATTTTACCCTTTCTTTTTTTTTTCCCTCATTTTAATTAATTAATTTTTGAAATGAAAAAAAAAATCGAAAACAGAAAAAAAAAAAAAAAAAAAAAACGTGAGAACGCTCGAGCTCGAACTCTCCTCGCCGGAAAATTCGATTTGAGTCGCCATTGCAGCCGTATCCTCTCCTCCGGCGAGCTGCGTCGAGATAGAGAGAAAAGGTATGTTGTTCGAGCTGCATAGAGCTTCAAATTGAAGTTTTGGATTTAGAAATGTAGGAGATTCAATTCAATTAGATTTGGGTTATTGTGTTTGGGTATGCACATTGGAAGTTTATGCATAGTTTCTGGGTCGAATAGGTCTGTAAATGGGTAAGAAATGGATTACAGCAACTGAATCATAGTGAATTGTAGTTTTGAACCCGAAACCATTCGATTTGAGTTCTTGTCGCGAAAGTACAACTGGTATAACTGGGTAGAATTGTACCTGAATCTATTGAAAAATATATACGTAGTATTACTGGTTATACTAGTATTACCCAGATGTATGTAGTATGACTAGTTACACTAGTATTACCCATTTACATGTAGTCTGACTAGTTATACTAGTATTACCCAGAATTGTAGTACAACTAGTACAACTAGTATAACTGACAGAGTTTTTGTATTGTTTTTGCAGGATAAAATGAGGGAGAACGTGATCATATATTTTAAATGCAAAGGTCGCATAGTATTTGATTTTATCTGCACTTTATGATTTGTAAAACAATTTCGACTTGGACAACTATGTAACACTAGTTTTTTTCTGATGTAATACTATGTTTTTTTCTATGGCAAATGGGTAAAACTTGTATAAAAAGTAGTACTAATAACGAGATTTGGTAATACTAGTAAAACTAGTATAACTTATGAAGGAATTTGAATTTCGAATTTGTTTTTTCCAACATTAAATATTACACTGACTATTAAGTGATAATGAACTCTTATAAATGATATAAAATAAATTAAGTGAGAAAAAAAAATTATATCATATCGGATTGTTTTAATAGACTCCATACAACATAATCCTTAAACTTTTATGTTCACTTTTTATAAAAACACCAACTTAGGATGGAAAATTTACAATTTTATATATTTTTAACATATGATTACAAAAAACATTAAGAATTCTATAATTATAGAGTTCACTCAAGTGTACAACTAGATAAGCAATTTTTTAGAATATGTAATACTGGTTAAACTGAAAAACACCAAAAATACAACTATGTAGAAAATTGGTACAACCAATAACTTGGTACAACTATGTTTAAAAAAAGCTGCGCACTGGTGGTAAAAACGGCGCACACGTGGATAAGATGGGGCCCACGTGTTCCAAAATTGAAATTCTCCCATTTTTTTGGGTTTTCCCACAAATTTGACGGCGCACATGTGTAAATTTGACTTGCACATGTGTAAATTTGACGGTGCACATAGTTTTACCTAGTAATACCAGTAGTATAAATCAAAAAACAAAACCAACATAGTTTTACCTAGTATTACCAATTGTACAAATCTAAACAACAACTATAAGACAAAGATATAGTGAAGAAGGTATATTCTTCTTCACCTCCAGCTACCATGATACTATCAATTTCATGTGGGATGTAAACAATGAACAAAGATTAGAAACATTACAACCCAAAATAGTTCATATCATACAACGCTCTTAGAAAATATGACTCCATGGACGTAGCATCTTCTCCGGTCTTTGTGTGCCCAATAACAATGCTAGATAAGAAGTAGAAGACCGTGTGGAATAAATTAAAAAGTCGAAATTTTCTCCCAAATGGCTCTACGGACGTAGCATCTTGATTTGGTATAACTACGAAAAAATTAACAAATCTTCATAAATTCAAAATTATATCATAATGCTTCTTGTAATGAAATAGACAACTTAGTGTTACATAATCAAATTAGTGGTTTGTAATCACAATTTGGTAAATAAAATTTTCAAAAATCTTACACATTTGAACTTTCTACATGAAAGTTCTTATACTTTTAACATGTCTTTCTTTTGAATATCCATGGTGAATGTCGAAAGTCTGAAAAATCAACATTTTACAAATATTATTGAATGAATATGTTTGGAATTTACCACATATACATAAAATTATGTGTACAACTAATAAAAATTAATATTAATCCAAGAATAACTAATTATACAGAAAAACCCCAAAAGTTCAACTGTGTGTAAGCGAGTACAACTTGTAAACTTGGAAAAACTGTGTATATTTGACGGCGCCATGTGTACAAATGACGGCGCCATGTGTACAAATGACGGCGCCACGTGTACAAATGACGGCGCACACGTGAATAAGACGGGCCCCACGTGTCCCAAAATTGAAAATTTTCCATTTTTTTTTGTTTTCTCCCAAATTTGACGGCGCACATGTGTAAATTTGACTCACACATGTGTAAATTTGACGGTGCACATAGTTTTACCTAGTAGTACCAGTAGTATAAATAAAAAAAACAAAACCAACATAGTTTTACCTAGTATTACCAATTGTACAAATCTAAACAACAACTATAAGACAAAGATATAGTAAAGAAGGTATATTCTTCTTCACCTCCAGCTACCATGATACTATCAATTTCATGTGGGATGTAAACAATGAACACAGATTAGAAACATTATAGCCCAAAATAGTTCATATCATACAACGCTCTCAGAAAATATGACTCCATGGACGTAGCATCTTCTCCAATCTTTGTGTGCCCAATAACAATGCTAGATAAGAAGTAGAAGACCAATTTTGGGTAAGCTTCTAACATGGAGAGAGTTATCTTTTCCCATGATGTCTTCATCATCAAGCTATACATGCGACATTGGCATTTGAAATATATGATCACGTTCTCCCTCATTTTATCCTGTCAAAACAATACAAAAACTCTGTCAGTAATACTGGTTTTACTAGTTCTGCTACATTTGTAGTAATAGTTTCCGAGTTGATAGCTTGATTTTCTTCACATATTCCGAAGGCGGGAAATACATACTCAGCGGTGGTATTGCTTCTGTTTCCTCGTCGATCTCCTGCAACAGAATAGACATTCATTCATATATCATTATTCTGCGAATAGTATTACCAGTATTACCCTGAAACTATACACATAGTTCTACCCTAGTAATACCAGTTTTACCCAGAATTCAAACACATAGTTATACCCTAGTAATACCAGTATTACCCAGAAATCAAACATATAGTAATGCCATAGTATTACCAGTTATACCCAGAATTCAAACAAATAGTATTCCCAGTTCTACCAGTTATACCAATAAATAATATTGGTATACTGTTCTACCAGTTATACCAATAAATAATACTGGTATACTCTTCTTCTTCCTCATTCTCTTCTTTTTCACTCTCTTCTTCCTCATTCTCTTCTTCCGCTGGCTCTAAAACCGGAATTAAGGTCGAGGATGGCTGCTGCTCCGTTGAGGATGGCTCCTGCTCCGTCGAGGATGGCTGCTGCTCCGTCGTTGGTACTCCTCTCTTCCTCTTTAACCCAATTTTCTTTGGAGGCATTGTCAGAAACGAGAAAACGAAACAAAGGACTCGAAAATGAGAAATCTGAAGTTGCTTTCGAAATCGATATCTCCCAAGAAAATCTGAAGTTGCTTTAGAAGAAGGAGAATAAGAGGAAGAGTGGAGAAATTCTAGGGAGAGATTTTGATTTTGATTTTGAGAGAGAAAATTGAGAAGATTTTCGCGTTCCGTTTCAAACAGAGAATAAAGGAATTAGGGTATCCGGTTGGGAGAGATGGGTCGGGTCTGGGTTCGAATAGATCCGGGTTTTCACTGTAAATATTGGATTTCGGTTAGGGTATACTGGTAAAACCAACACTTTTCGAATTAAAATTAAATCAATAATAATTTCTGTTTATAAGGGGGAGATATGAGGTTTTGTTTTGCCAAAAGGGGACTCCCCAGACATTTTTGTGTGCGCTCTGTGATTGACTGATTTCTCAGAGGGATAATCAGTGACACATCGAGTCGAAGAAGAACATACATAATCTTTGAATCAGATCTGATCTGTTTTGTCAGTTTTGAAGCTGGTCTGATCAAATTGAGATTTCTCAAAAACCCTTAAAGCTTGTCTCTTTTGTTTTCTCTGAATCAATTCGGGTAAATCAAGAGTAGACGTAACAATGGATGCTTTTAGAAGACAAGCGAGCAAGCTTAGGGATCAAGTCGCAAAGCAACAACTGGTAGGTCTTAAATTGCGAGTATAAATAGTCTAGGAATCTTCAAATTTGGAAACTTTTATCATGGGTTTTTTCAATTCCGGAGCTCTGCTTAAGTTTCTGATTTTGCAAGCTGCATACCAATTTCATCTTGTCTTGATCGATTACTTGTATATTAAGTCTTATAGAGAGTTGTTTGATATGTGTTGATTGATATGTGATAATGGGGAATGTAGGCTGTGATAAAGCAATTCAGTGGGACTGGCTATGAAAGCTCAGATGTAATGGTGATTGATGAGCTAGAAATGCAAAGGCATCACCAACTCGATAAACTTTACCGCTCTACTCGTTCTGCCAAGGTTAGACTGACATTGACTTAATAATAATGTTAATGGTATTGTCACAGTTTATATGAGTTCATTGTTAGGGGAGAAGGTTTCAGTATGATTCATCATAGCATAATATCCTCAAACATATGTTATTGTTGTCACTTTCAGGAGTTCCAGAGAGATATTGTTAAAGCCGCTGAGGCATTTACTTCCATCGGTCTCAGACACATTGAAGCAGGTACTTATGAGTGTTTGTTTTGTGGTACCTATCATTAAATTAAGTTACACTATGATGCATTTATGGGTTTTATTTTGATAATCTTTAAAATTTCAGGAACCAAGTTGTCTGAAGATTGTTGTAGGTATGGGAACGAAAATAGTCAGAATATCGATGAGAACATACTGGCCAAGGCTGCAGCTATATACGGTGATGCTCGGAAACATGTAGACAAAGAACAAGAAGACTTCAACAAGCTTTTGGCTTCTCAGGTTCGGCTTGGATTATCTGTGTTTAGTCTTAGTATGTTACTTAGAACTAAATGTGGTAGGTAACAAGAGTAAACCTTTTTGTTAAATGCGTTAAGGTTTTGGATCCTCTTAGAGCTATGGTTGCCGGTTCTCCTCTTGAAGATGCTCGTCATCTTGCCCAACGTTACAGCCGCATGAGACAAGAAGCAGAGACACATGTAATCTTCTTAAAATCTCAGTTCTATGATGATGTATTGATGTTGGCTTTTTTGTGATGTAAGTTAAAACGTAAAAAAAAAAAAAAAAAAACAGGCAACAGAAGTCTCTAGACGGCAAGCACGTGTAAGAGAAGCTCCGATTCCAGAAAACGTGGCAAAGCTTCAACTAGCGGAAGCAAAAATGCAAGAGCTAAAAGCAAATATGGCGGTTCTCGGTAAAGAAGCAACTGCTGCATTGGCTGCTGTTGAATCACAGCAACATAGACTCACTTTCCAGAGGCTTGTGGCTATGGTATGTTTTACATACACGCACACACTGGATTTTGTGTCTTACATAGATTGATATTTACTGTATCGCTTATTCTAGGTTGAAGGGGAGAAGAATTATCACTTAAGAATAGCAGCCATCCTCAGTGACATTGAAGCTGAGGTTAGTAATGGATGAATCGTTTTCATATCTAATCCTAATCCAAGACTCACACTTTTGGCCTTACCTCGTTTCTTAGATGGTAACCGAGAAACAACACAAAGAATCTGCTCCTCCTGCGATTCCAACAGAGAACGGCTCAGAAAAAACATCATACTTTCTAGCTGAAGTAAGTTATATCTTGTGAAATATCATCATTGCATATCTCAGAGAAAGAAAAAGACTCTTCATAAGCAACGTACTGTATATGATCTCTCAACATACAGTATGTGTTCTCTTGACAGGTGATTCACGCATTTTCTGCTGCTTCAGAGAAAGAATTAGAGTTGGAAAAAGGAGATTACGTTGTTGTCCGAAAGGTTTAACATTTCACTACCACAATCAAATAACTAATCTTTATGGTGAGAGAGCAAGAAACTTAAGTCTTTGTACTGTCTTTCTTTCGTATTCTCAGGTGAGCCAAACCGGTTGGGCTGAAGGAGAATGCAAAGGCAAAGCTGGTTGGTTTCCTATGGCTTACATTGAGAAGCGACAGAGACTTCCCACAAACAACTTTGCTGCTGAAGTTTACTGAGTCTCTTCTTCAAAGATTTCTCTTTTTCTTACATTTGTGTCTGAAATACTCTGTTTCGTTCAGTCATTACTGCGGAAAATTACTACTCTTGTTCATATTTGTTGATCCAAATTAGGCTTTACCTCCAAAAAGATGTTTATTGCAGATTAAAAACATTGAAGCTTCTTAAATTCAATTACACACCCTTGACGCTTTCTGTCTATTCCTTAACATAGCCCGTAACTATCATAATCTTCCAATTTTTACCCAATTTCTAACATTTGGAAATTACACACCCTTGACGCTCTCTGTTAAAAAGCAACCCAAAGAATTAGTGTGGTTCGAGGCTTTTAAAGCTCGACGTTAAAAGAGTCTCAAATTTATGAGTTCAACTGACAAAAATAACGAATCAATTCCAAAAATTCTCTCTTTTCAGTTCAAACCAAAAACAAAAAGTCTCTTAATTTGCACTCATGTGCAGAGTGACAAGAGAAGCATAAGCACCACCTGAAATCTTCATCAGTGTCTCATGCCTTCCCTTCTCAGCAATAACGCCGTTTTTCACAACCGCGATCACGTCTGCATTCTTAATGGTCGTGAGCCGATGAGCCACAACTACAGTGGTTCGATTAACCATAACTCGATCAAGCGCATCCTGAACCACACGCTCAGATTCTGCGTCCAATGCACTCGTCGCTTCATCAAGCAACAAGATCTTAGGATCTTTCAAAATCGCACGCGCAATCGCGATCCTCTGCTTCTGACCGCCCGATAGCTGAACACCGCGTTCTCCAACCGACGTATCGTAACCCTGAGGCAATGAGCTGATGAAGTTATGTGCGTTTGCGGCTTGTGCTGCTGCTATAATCTCTTCCTCTGTGGCTCCACCGGTTTTACCATAAGCTATGTTTGATCTGATCGTCTCGTTGAACAAAATCGGTTCTTGACTAACCAAACCCATCTGTTGCCTTAACCAACTCAATTTAAATGTCTGAATTTCCACCTGATCGATCAAAATCTTGCCTGAATCTGGATTATAAAACCTCTCAATCATGCTAATCACCGTCGATTTCCCGCTCCCGCTCTCTCCAACAAGTGCAACGGTCTGAAAAACAACCAATAACCAATATTAACCGGTGAATCCGATTTAACCGGTGAAAGAAAATGCTCTGTTTTTTACCTTTCCGGAAGGGATAGTCAAGCACAAATCACGGAAAATCTGAACGTCCGGTCGCATCGGGTACCGGAAACTAACATGTCGGAATTCGATATCGCCATGAACGTTTTGTAACGTGGTACCTTCATCAGAGCTCGAATCAATCTTTGGTTTACTATCAAGAATATCGAAAATCGAAGCTGCAGAGTCTTTAGCTTTGTTTGTATCAGGTGCCATAGCACTTGTTTGAGAAACTCCAATCGCCATGATCGTCAATGCAAAGAAAACCTGTAAAAATCAAGTAGAAGAAACAAAACCCTCTCAAGATCACTAAACCAAACCGTGATCTTAACTAAACCGAGAGATGTTTCTCTTCTTACCTTGAAGACTTCACCAAATGTGGCTTTACCTATTTGAATCAACCCCGCACCACTGACGAAACATACACAATTGATGCAATAGAGAAAAAAGAAAGAGAAACCGAAACCCGCACCGCTCAAAAGACCTAACCGAACACCGTTCTTCTTCGGTCCATCGCATTTTTGTTGGTACAAATCCATCACTTTGCCCTCTGCACAGAAAGATGCAACCGTTCTAATGCTGCTCACTGCATCATTCGCCACTTGACTCGCTTCTTCATACATCGCCTAAACCAGGATAAAATCGATCAGTAAACTTAAATTGCTACTAAACCGGGATAAAATTGTCACAATTATATGAAACCTTAGCATCTGCGCTGAAACCAGTCAGGAACTTGGTTTGAGCATATCCTTGGATGACAATAAATGGTGAGAGAGCAAGAACTATGAGAGCTAGCATCCAATTCGCTGTAAACGCTATTATCAACCCGGTGGTTACAGTAGCTATGTTTTGTACTATTAACGCCAATGCATCTCCTACCAAACTCCTCACTGTTGAAGCATCGGTAGACAACCTCGCTCCAATCGCACCGCTGAAACAAAACGAAAATAAATATTAGAATCAAAACATACAAAATACACGTTTAGCGATTTATATAATGTTATATTACCTGGAATTTGCTGTGTCATCGAACCAACTGATTTCTTGATGAACTACTTTATCAAAACACATTGATCGGATGCGTTTAATCAATTTCCCTCCAGCGATTCCAAAGAAATAGTTTTGGATCGGGATCATGAAGAAATTGGCTAAACCGAGAGCGATATAAATCAGCGCCCAAAAATGTGAATCTTTCTTCAGTATCTTTGCTGGTTCATAGAACATATTGATCGAGCTCGAAAGCAGTAAACCGAAGATGGGAAACAACGTTCCGTGAACCATTGCAGCAATTGAACCGAGCAATAAAACCGGAATTTCCGGTTTGTTGAGGCGAGCAAGCCGTTTTAATGACACTTTCTTGTGCCTCACGGTTTTTTCCTCGTCTTCGATCTCATCGGTTTGGTTGATGTTAACTGCTCCCGGAAAGAATATATTGGAAGCGAGAGAGAAAGAATGGCGACTGCTCGATGAATTCCGGCTAACGGATCTTCTCATTGCCGATGATAACCTATGACTTCCTGATCTCTCGACGTCTAAGCTCGTTTCAGGTCTCTCTGATTCGTTAGCTTCTTCTTTTGATCCTTCTTGAAGACGAACAAGCTGTGAATAAGCTCCCTCAGGATTTTGAATCATATCATCGTGAGTCCCTGTAGAATATTAACAATCGATTACTTATAGTGCACAATATTGTTTTCGAACGCGGTAACTTATTGCACACGGTTACTGTTATACCTTTCTCGACAATTTTCCCTTGGTGGACAACAGCGATTACATCGGCAGTTCTAATTGTGGTCAAACGGTGAGCAACCACAACGGTAGTCCGATTTGACATTAAGTTCACGAGCGCGTCTTGAACAATGCGTTCGGATTCTGCGTCTAACGCGCTTGTGGCTTCGTCTAATAGCAATATTTTAGGGTTCTTCAAAATCGCCCTAGCGATCGCTAGCCTCTGTTTCTGCCCGCCAGACATTTGCGTCCCGTGCTCTCCTACCATTGTATCCAAACCCTACAAACAGAGAATTTCATTTAAAAGGAAAAAGAAAATGCAACGAATACTCATTAAAAAAAATATATGCAATGAGTACAACAAATCTTTCTAATAGTAGTTTCTGTATTGAAATTTGAAGGTACCTGTGGGAGTTTATCAATGAATTTAGCCGCATTAGCGAGCTCAATCGCAGTTCGAATCTCCTGATCAGTCGCGTCTTCTTTCCCATAAGCAATGTTCTCCCTTATTGTGGTCGCAAACAACACAGGTTCTTGGCTAACCAAACCGATTTTGCTTCTTATCCATTTGAGCTGAAGTTTCTTCAAATCAATGTTGTCTATCAATACTTGTCCTGACTCCGGATCATAGAACCTCTCGATTAGACTGATAACTGTCGATTTTCCGCTTCCGCTCTGTCCAACCAAAGCCACTGTTGTGCCGTTCGATACAAAGAGCGAGAATCCAGCAAAGATTTGAACATCGGGCCTAGCCGGATACCTAAAATAAACATCTTTAAGCTCAATGTCTCCTCTAATATCCTCAAGAACAGAACCGCTCATATCGTAAGCATCAATCTTTGGAGTCCTCTTGATAGTTTCAAACATTTTGAAAGCTGCAGCTCTCCCTGCAGCGAAAGCATTCAAACTCGGCGATGTTTGCCCTAACGACCTGACAAGACAAGGTAGCTTGATGAACATGTAAGATCGTATGCGATGAGTCAATTTGAGGGATTAGGATTTTTAACTCACATTCCTCCGGTCAAGACCGCGAAAATTATGTTAATGACTTGTCCTCCATTGTAACCTTTCTCCATTATCAGCTTTGCACCATACCAAACCGCTAAACCGTAGCTGCAAAAGATCACAGCTAGCATTGTGCCAAGCCCTAGACCAGAGATCAAACCCTGTTGAACCACAGTCTTGTAAGCTATCTCGAGCTTGCTTTCGTATTTTTCCGTTGCTTGTTTCTCTCCCGTAAACGCTACTACCTAAGAAAAAAACCCGCGATTTCATCTACTGGCACGGGGAATAATTTTTGGAAAGGAGGATAAGAAAAGAAGAGAAAACTCACTGTTCTAATGGCTCCAACGGTTTGTTCAACTACGTTTCCAGCCTCTGCGTAAGCGACTTGACCACGACCAGCCATTTTAGACATGATCAGAGACATAGCTGCACCTGCGATCACAATCAGAGGGATACAACTGCAAAGAACCAACGTTAACTGCCAGCCTTTAGAAAAGGCAATCACGAATCCTCCAAAGAACGTCATTGCTAGTTGTATGAATTTTCCAACCTATGCATCAAAACCAACAGTTTTTCAGTATCTTGTGTCGCAAGAAATCATTTCTTTGTGATTAAATTTAACTAAAAAAACCTTTTCTCCCATGGCGTCTTGAATCAAAATTGTGTCTCCAGACATTCTTCCAATAACCTCTCCGGTGTTTGTCTCCGTATCGAAGTAGCCGATATCTTGTCTTAATATCGTTTTCAAGTATAGACCACGAATTGTGGCGGATTGACGTTCTCCAGTAACCATCCAGCATGAGACCTCTATTGAAGAATTTGCAGAAGAAATCGTTAACTTGGAACACAAGTTAGGGTTAAAAAACAGAGAGTAGTAAGCTTACGGAGGAAGGCGACGACACCAGAGTATACTGCAAGGTAAATAAACTTTACAGCAACCTGTAAACGTGGAAGGAAGTTTAATGAAGTAGTTACTAAATAAAATCGATTATTTTCCACGCCAAAACTAAAGTTGCTTTCAATCTTTAACTTTAAAGTAAAGGCTAAATAAACAGTATCTTTGTCTATATCTTCAAAACAAAGAAAACAGTAAACTCCATTAATGTTGTATATTTATTTCATGTAACTCATATAAAGAAATAAAGTATAATTAAGATCAATCAATGTGATTTTGTAAAGCAGAAATTAAAGGGTGTTAACTATTTTAAGTTACATCATAATTTTTTTTTTTTTATCAAAATTATAGATTAAAACAAAAAAAAACTCAAATGGAATAAGTAATAACAACGAATCACATTATTATGGAACATCGGATAATCACTAAAATCAAGAATATTTATTTATTCACCCTAATCCTTAAATCAAGGCTTGATCGAGAAAATCTTGACCCGGCTCGATGATCTAATCATTCCCAAATTTAACTAAAAGAAAATCTAAATTAAAAGAAAAGAAAAAAACCCTAACCTTCCACACTTCTCTAACCATATGATCTGGATCGGTGGTGCCAAAAGCATTTATGAGCTGGCCAAAGATTAGAGTCATGAGCGGCTGAGTTAGGCCGTTACCCATGGCGGCGATAGTCCCGACCGTCATCAAAACTACGTCGGTTTTGTCGGCAAACGAAAACAGTTTGAAAAACGACACTTTCTGATTTCCACCATCATTCTTCTTCGGAGATATCTCCTCCATTGTTTCTTTTCTTTCCTCTTCTTTTTTCATAGGAAAAAAGTAAAGGTAATAGAAAAACTTTCACGGGTTCTATGAGGAAGGAGATATGAAAAGAAAAATAGAGAAGGCTTTATATATAAGGGAGGTTATTGCGTAGAAAGAGATATCAAAATTTGATACGCGTTCTTGAAGAAAAACAAATTGATAACAAAATAATCCAGACTGTAAAAATATGAGAATCTTAGAGAGTTTCTAGAAGAGAGATACAGAAGTGAGGCAACGAAGACAGAGGAGAAAAAAACTGGTGAAAATTCAAATACCGTTATGGGTTTTTTTAGATCCCACTTATATATAAAGTCACTAACTTACTTTTTGTAATCGTCTCTCTTCCTTAATATAGAGTTTGATAGTTAATAACTATTTTTAATTATTGTCTTTGACGTTTGCGATATGATGTTGTTGGAGCTTTTAAGAAATTAAGCGTTAGTTTTATTTTCTTAACAATATATATTATCTCATGTAAATAATATAAGAACAAAATTCCAATAATATTTATCGATTCGGAAATTCGAATTCCCAACAAAATTTGACCATAGTTTATTCCGTTCGGCTCCACCAAAGATGTGTGACTAATTAGATATTATTGCTATTCGCTCTTTATTAATTGCTTAATTTTGTATTCTCATTATGTTCTAGTTATGTTATCAAGATGGGAAGCTATAAAAAGTACACGTCGATACATAATATACTAGATCATAACCCGTGCTGGAACAGCACGGATAAAAATTTAATTTTTAAATATTTATATAAACTTGGATTATTGTTTCTTTTATAGTACAATTTTAATAATTCTTTACATAATACAATAACATATAATGATTTTTATTTTATTTTGTTTGATGAGAAAATATTAGGGGTGGGGTACGGTTTTTCGGTTTAGTATCGTTTTTTTCATTTTGTAGAAAGTGAAACCATATAGAAACCGTATGTAATTCGGTTTAGTTACAGTTCGATTTTTACGGTTTTTTACGTTTTTTAGTTAAAAATAAAACGTATGTATTTGATATATGCTAGTAGTAAATGAAAAAAAATTGCGTATATAATAAACATATTTTGGTATATAATAAGATTAAATTCAACCCGTGCATACCTATATTTTTATTTTAGAATCCCAATAAAAAAATTGTATGCACAATCCATCATTCATTATTTTCATATATACTTATAGAATCAAAATTTTAAATATTTAGAGGTGTCAAACCTTATTTAACTCATCTCATCATATAATCTTAACTTGGTTTCGGTTATAAAGATCATAACTCTTTTTATCATATAATACATTACATTTAACCTGCTACTTGCTATAAATATTTTAAATATTTATGCTTTGAAAAATGAAAGTAGAGTATTTATAACTTTTATCTTTTGATTTATTAAATATTTATGATATTCTTTAAAATATTATATTAAACTATTTTTCAATTTTTCCAAATTAAAATATTTTTTTATTTTTTATTGTAGAATATAAAATTAAGAATTTTTAAAAAATAATTGTGAACTTAAATATAAATATTCAAATAGTTATAAGGATCATAACTCATTTCATCATATAATACATTATATTTAACCCACCGTCTATTATAAATATTTTTTAAATATATATGTTTTAAGAAAACCAAATTAGTGTATGTATAATTTTTAATTTTTTTATTTATTAAGTATTGATGATATTTGTTTTTAAATATCAAGTAAAACTATTTTAAACTATTTTAAAATATTCTAAATTAAAATATTTAAAATTTTATCGTATTATATAAAATTATATATTTTAAAAAAATATATGAAATTGAATATAATTACTCAAATTCTGACCCGTTATTCAGGCAGAATTTTTGTTGAATTTATTTTTGTTTAAAAGAAATATATTATCCAAGTCTAAATTTTTGACTCGTTAAATTTTTTTTTCATAAATTGAATAATTTATATTCGTTTTTAAAAATTCAAATTACGGCATATGTGGAAAAAAATCTATTTTTTATTATTATATAGATGATATGATGATTTATTTGTTTCATAATAATAGAATCATATAAAGATGAGAGGTGAAATATAATGATTAATAAAAAATTAATAAGGTAAGTTAAATATCAAATCTTATATATTCATTTTGATTGGTCATTTAAAAATAATAATAATAATGTATTTTTCGTTTTTATAATTAAATTAAATTAATTAAATTGTATAAATTGACTTGTTTATCCTTAATAAGATGAATTAATTTACTCTTTGAAATTTTATCTCTAATGGCATTCTTAAGTAAATTTTTACAAAAGAAAAGGTTAGTTAAGGGTATCTTATAAAGTGTACTCCCCAAATAATAATATAGGATTGATTGGTTTAGAGTTAATTAGAATCGTATAAAACATAATTTAGTCATAAGGATTAAGGAGAAGCCTTAGTGGAGAATCAAACATCTTTATATCCGCAAATTTGTGTGAAAACTTACTTTTGGAAAAGATGGTGTATGTGTATAGTTCAATGCAGATTTTTGAAATCAACTTCTAAATTTATCTATTATTTTAGTTTTTTCATTTAAAGAATTGATATTGCATAAATTTTAATAGTTTTTGTTTTTAATGTGTGAAATTCGTATAACAATATGTATTTGCGTAATGAAAGGAAGAGAGTAATATAAACCATGTGATATATATATCAAAGAAAATTAATTTTATATAAAAAAACAACCCTTACTTAATTATATGTATCTCTCCAAGCACGGGCCACAAGAATTGTTCACCGCTCATTGTAGATAAGCTACAATGTCAGTTGTTGTTCTGGCATAAAATTTTATGGCATCGTCGACGATCGAGTTGTTGTTACACCTGATTACCTGATAAGAGACAAGTTTGCTTCCTTGGGCATCACCATTCACCAATGATTCCTTCTGCTTATTAATCATGCTCTTCATCGGGATAGAGTAGAGACCACATCTTATTGGAATGAACTTAATCACTAGCAATTTGATGTGAAATGATTACATGTATATTATGTATAGCGCATATAATGTTCATGAATGTGTCAATGAAAAGAAAACCCAAAGAGTATACTGGTGAATACAAAAAGATAAAGCAAAAGGATGCATTAACCTTGTTTCCATTTCATTTTTTATTTAATAATATGACAATGATATAAACTGTATACTCTATGAAAGTCTTACATATTATTTCATAAAAAAAAATGTACATCAATTATGGATTCAAATTTTCTCTGTTCTTTGGACATGCTTTGTAATTTGCTTTCTTTCAAAAGTAAATATTAATGTCAAATTTTTAAAAGTTGATAAGAAATTAAAAAGAGATTTTGATTCTAATCTTTACAGAATAATGGAAGAAACGATGACGCATTATGCATTACCATACTAGTCAATTCATACGTCCATAACTCATCACTTAGAGCATGATTATTGGTAGTATCTTAGAAATACCTCTTAGCAATATTTAAGTAATATATGTGTAAAAGTGATTGTTAAGAGATAGTATTTTTGAGTTAAGATTTTTGTGTGATTAATGGTAAGCTCTTAACATGTGGTTCTTAGAAAAAAAAATTAACATAAAAATAAAATTTATAATTATAGAAAATTTAATAATGGTTGCAAATTAAAAAAATTAAAACATACATGAGATACAATTTATAACATAAATAACAGAAAGCATAAATATTTTAAACTTAATTTCTGCAATATTTTGTCTATATATGCTCTTAGCTAAGGAACGTTCCTTAGCTAAGGAACGTTTCTTAACGTTAAAGCACAAAGTTGATTAAATTATATTGCATTAAATGTTAAGAAAATCTTAAGATTTTTATAAGAGCTTGCCTTTAATCATGCTCTTAGGGCATGGGCAGTGGAGCATCTTCACGGGTGTAAGTGGTAATAAAAAAAGCAAAAAATTGTCTCTCTCTTCACATCCGGGTGTAAGTTTACACTCGGATGTAACACTCACTCTCTCTATCTCTCTCTTCTTTCTTTCTCTCTTTTCTCTTTTTTAGACAACTTTTACATTAAATCAGTTTTTTTTTAATACTTACACCCCCCAAACAAATGCCCCACTGCCCTTGGTCTTATGTTTTCAATACCAGTCACTTCTAAGTTCTAAACTTTACAACAAAAAAAAAAAACTAGTCACTTCTTTACTACAAAAGAAAACGCCAACTAGCGACAAGCTTTGATCCATATCATTAAGCGCTCATCGCTAAACACAAAAACGTCGATGAATTTGTAACATCTGCGTAAAAATAAGAAATGTATAAAGTAGTGTTGATAAATGATAAATACTATGAAATTTTATTTGATCATTCAGTGCATATATGATTTACGTCGACAATAACAACTGCTTAAAAAAAATATTATTTCACATGCACTGAGAAGTTAGATTAACTATATTTAGAGAAGTTGACAATTTTTTTTTTTGGGTATAAAGAGTGGTTGACAATTAAAGCAAATTTAAAATTATTCTTTCGAATTACGTACTATCATTTATTTTTTTGTTAAAGAATTTACGTACTCAGAGCCGGCCACAAGTACAAGCTTTGCGGCCCCCGAAAATATATAAACATTTTCGGCCCCAAAATTTTGTAACTGTTATGTAGTCTAGTGGTAAAGTCAGATCTGTTTTGGCCCTCATGTCTCAGGTTCGAGTCTCCATTCCATTTTTTTTTTTTTTTCTCGTTTTTTACTAAAATCTAATAAAATTTTAATTTTTAGAAAATAGAAAAAAATCTAGAAAACTCAATTAATCTAACGCAATCGTCGTTTAATCTTCTTTCTAATTCTTCTTATTCCTCTAGCATCATAACCACTACTGTTCTAAATTTTTATTCCTTTTTGCTCTCAAACATCAATTTGGCCTCAGTTTTCCATACATAATCTAGAATTCATCTTATAAATCTTGGTTTTATACAGTAAGTTTTTCCTCTTTTTGCAAAATATTTTTGGTTTAATCAAAAAAAAAAATTTCTTATAAACATGTGTAGTGGCCTTTTTTTTTTGGTCGCTTGTAGTCTTATAAAACATAGGGACGGCTCTGTACGTACTATCATGTATAAATAT